CGCCCTCTGCTAGTCCGGCTCCTCCCTTAGAGTGTCCACCGCCTGTCCAGTCCGAGTCACAGTTACAGCCTACCTCTCCTCTGCCTGCTCCTTCTCCCTACACTGGTCCTACTGGAGGTCTTGCTGAGCGTCGTGAGCCTGCGTCTCATCCTGCGTCGCCTGTCCGTGCTGAGCGCACTAGTAGTCGTGGTTCGCGTCAGCGTCCTCCCCCTGTCCCAGGCACGCACCGGATGTCTCTGCGTCCCTCCACTGCTCCGTTGCGTGCCCCTTTGCCTTCTCCTCCTGAGTCCTCTCTTCCTATTCTTGCTGACCCGGAGTCGGACTCCCTTCGTGCTGCCAGTCCTACTGTCACGCGTCTCCTTGCTACTGTTGTCACTGACCCTTCCTTTGAGTCCGCTGCTGCGTCTGCCTTAGTTTCTGAGCTTGTCGACTTCGCTGCTCGCTGTCGCCTATACTACGCTGCTAGTCTTGTCGCTGAGTCTGCGTCCGTCTGTCCTCCGTCCGTCGGGGGTGAGTGTGCCCTTGGCACGGACGTCCTTGAGGACAGGCATGAGGAGTTCCAGTGCTTTTCTGCTGCTTCACCTCATCTTGTGTCCATGCTGCTTGCCCCTGAGGGAGACCCGGATGCACTAGACATCCCGACTCCGCGCTCCTACGCGGAGGCGATAGAGGGTCCCTACTCCTCTCAGTGGCAGGCAGCCATGGATGCAGAGATGGCTTCCTGGAAGTCCACAGGCACCTACGTCGACGAGGTTCCCCCTCCTGGGGCGAACATCGTCAGTGGCATGTGGATTTTCAGGGTGAAGCGGCCGCCGGGTTCTCCGCCTGTCTTCAAGGCGCGTTACGTGGCTCGTGGCTTCAGTCAGCGGCAGGGAGTTGACTACTTTCAGACCTTCTCTCCCACCCCGAAGATGACCACTCTTCGGGTACTGCTGCACATAGCCGCTCACCGTGACTACGAGCTTCACTCTCTTGACTTCAGCACTGCTTTCTTACAGGGCAGCCTGCACGAGGAGATCTGGCTGCGCCGCCCACCTGGCTTCACTGGGTCTTTTCCTCCTGGTACCCAGTGGAGCCTCCGGCGGCCAGTCTACGGTCTCCGCCAGGCACCTCGTGAGTGGCACGACACACTGAGGACTACACTTGCGGCTCTTGGGTTTGCTCCTTCTACTGCCGACCCGTCGCTGTTTCTGCGCACCGACACTTCTTTGTCGCTGTTCTACATCCTCGTGTACGTCGACGACTTGGTCTTTGCCACAGCTGACACTGCTGGACTCGCTCACGTGAAGTCCGAGCTGCAGAAGAGACACACGTGCACAGACCTGGGTGAACTGCGCAGCTACCTTGGCTTGCAGATCACCCGGGACAGAGCACAGCGCACCATTACCCTGACTCAGTCACACATGGTGCAGCAGGTCCTTCAGCGCTTCGGCTTCACGTACTCCTCGCCTCAGGCCACTCCTCTGTCTACTCGTCACTCGCTCTCAGCTCTGCCTTCGGATGAGTCCGTAGAGTCGAGTGGCCCGTACCCAGAGCTTGTTGGCTGCCTCATGTACCTGATGACCTGCACTCGACCTGACCTTGCATACCCTCTTAGCATTCTGGCACGCTATGTTGCTCCTGGGAGACACAGACCAGAGCACATGGCTGCAGCGAAGAGGGTGTTGCGCTACTTGTGCAGTACGTCGGGCATGGGGCTTGTGCTTGGAGGGTGGAGTCCAGTGGTCCTCACTGGTCACGCAGACGCTTCTTGGGCTGACGACCAGGCTACGCAGCGGTCGTCACAGGGTTACACCTTCAGCCTTGGTTCCGGCTCTGTTTCGTGGCGGTCTACCCGCTCGTCTTCTGTTCTCGGCTCCAGTTGTGAGGCTGAGATCTACGCGGGGGCCATGGCTGCACAGGAGTTACGCTGGCTCACCTACCTACTGACTGACCTTGGAGAGCAGCCTCGTTCGCCTCCAGTTCTGTACGTAGACAACAAGGCCATGCTGGCCTTGTATCGTGAGCACAGACTGGAGCACAGAACGAAGCACATTGCTCTTCGCTACTTCCTTGCTCGTGAGCTGCAGCAGCGTGGTCAGCTGCGACTTGCTTACGTGGCCTCTCAGGCCAACACTGCTGATATCTTCACCAAGGTACTCGCGCCTTGTGATCATCAGCGCTTCTGTACTCTGTTAGGTCTTGTACCTACTTCATGTGAACTGGCCTTGTGGCCCTTGAACTTGCGCTCAGAATGTGTGGTGACGTTGGGATCCACCCTGAGCTTGCTGTGCTTTGCTTGACTGGTCTTGTGACCCCTTGTTCTCCCCCACTTTGCCTATGGGGGTGTGTCGAACTTATATGCTATAGTCTTTCTAGGCTGTAGTGGGGTAGACAGTATGGGGTACAGCTTTCTAGGGTTTCATATTTGTACCCAACTCATTTCCTAGTTCACCATTCTCGTTCTAACTTTCACACATGTCCCACCTGCCAGCTCACGAAATCATCACGTAAGCGACCGGCAGGACAGTTGCAGCCGATACCACCCCCAGAGCGTGCTTGGCAGCAGGTGACGATAGACTTCGTCACGGGGTTACCGGCCGGGACGAGTGGGAACGACCGATCCTGGTCGTCGTCGATCGACTGACGAAAATGGCACACTTCGCCGCCTGCAAAAAATCAATCACAGCCGAAGAAACAGCACGCCTCTTCATCTCCACCGTCGTTCGACTGTACGGGATACCAGCAGCGATCATCAGCGACCGCGACACGAAATTCACCAGCAACTTCTGGCGGAACCTGTGGCAGCAGTTCGGCACGCGACTACAGTTCAGTTCTTCGTACTACCCCGAAACCGACGGACAGACATAACGGACAAATCAGACTATGGAGCAACTCATCCGAGCCACGTGCGACAACCCAACCACCTGGGAACAGCAACTGCCTCTCATCGAGTTCGCCTACAACAATTCAACTTCCGCCACGACCCAACAGTTACCGTTTTATCTGAACTACGGACAAGACCCAACAGTACCCATGACCCCGAATCCCGACAACCCGGTGCCACGCGCGCAGCAGTTCGCCGAAATTTTGCAAGCAGCACGGACCAGGGCAGCAGACGCAATTAAAACAGCCAACGTCATCGCTAAACGCAACGCCGACCGCCACCGCCGACCTGTCACTTACCGAACCCGACGACCTAGTTTTACTCGACACTCAGAACCTCCGCCTGCCCATCACACCAAAACTCCGCCCCCGATATTGCGGGCCATTTCGCATCAGCCACATGATCACACCCGTCACCGCCCACCTCCTCCTCCCTGCTGACTCGTACGTCAGCCCGTCCTTCCACGTCAGCCTTTTCCGCCCTTACGTACCCTCCACCAGCCAACTGCCTCGCAACCGCCCCGCCAGCATGACACGACCACCCACCGAGCCGATCATCTCACCCGAAAAGATCCACCGCGTTCGTGACCCACGAGGAGCTCGAAGGATCGAATTTCTGATCCGCTGGAAAGACCGCACGCCCACGGAGGATAACTAGGTCCCCCTGGACAGAATTGAGAATCACCCTGTCCTCACCGAGTATCTTCGTAGCCGAAATTTCCGGGACGTAGACGCGCTCTCGTAAGGAGGTCCTCCTTAGGGGGGGGTAGTGTAAGGAAATTTCCTTTTCCTTACCTCGCTTCCCTGCTCAGCGCGTACACCACTGTTCCCGCCAACAGCACCCAACAGTAATCCGTTACCACTCGCGACACTGTTCCCGCCACTGTTCACGACGCGACCCAACCTCACGGTTCGGTTGGTAACCCGCGCTCCGGACCTCCGCCTCGACACTTCCCAACCTCGGCGCCAGGCCCGTCGCGCACCCCAATTTCCACGCATTACCGTTACCACTGTAGTTTCGCTATATATTCTTCGCTCATGCCTTCGCTCATTGTACTTGTTGCTTCGATAGTGCAATTCTCGCTCGCTCGCTCGCTTGCACTCGTAACACACATAGTATCACATGAGGGATCCACAAGGACGATGTCTGCTTGCACTGGTACAGCTTGCCCGCGGCCGAGCACATAGCAGAACCGAGTTCTGAGAATCGCCGTGAACGCCAATTGTGGCTTGTCACGTGCCTCTGGGTTGTCCAGCTTGGCTAGAGTGCAATCCAATCGTCCTCACGAAAAGCTTTCGTTAGCCATTTCGCACAACTCGTGAGCCTCTCGCTTTGGGTATGTGGTTACTGGCAGCTGCGTCAGCGAACTAATCACAATCAGTCCAGGGAGGAAAGTCCATCTCATTCGTCGCCGCCAGTGTGACAGCACATATCCACTCATTTGGCGACGGCTCACGAGCCTTCGCGTTGCCAGCCAGCCGCAGGTTACCATTTACGAAACTCGCTGAGTCTTGTTCCGCGATCGCGAGCGTTCGTCGAGCCAGTTGGCCGACATTCTGCTGTTGGCGTGCATGCAGCGGTCATGGATGATGGGAGAAATCCTTATCTCGTCCAATCCCATCAAGCCATCACATTCTCTGTTCTATTCATGGCTCCTCCACATTCAATTCACCTCTCCTCACCATGGGTCCTCCCAGCCCATCCCATAACTTCATGGGAATGGCATGGTCAGTAAACCTGGTCTGCCTGTCTTTCCTCTGGTCTTCTTCTCCTCGTCCTCTACTTATCTGCAAGGTAACCTACAGCAAACAGTTAGTATGGCCAACAGTGTAGCACACTGTTAACCCAGGCTATGCGGTGTGCCCAGCCTCTGAGATACGCGTATCGAGCAACGTCGTCGTGGAGCTCCCTACAAATTTACTCGTTGAAGTCAGTTGTTCCGATTTAGTGCGGTGGCACGGCTTATACAGTTGCTTGGTTACAGGTCCGTGTGGTTACCATAGTTGGCATCCGAAATACGGTATAGAAGTCAACTACTAGCTGAGCATCCGGACAGGCTCAACGTTCGAACATTTGGACGGCCTCAAGCACCCTTTCAGGTTTTCGAAACGGTGTTTCAACATTTGGACACGTCATGGGAAGGACCATTCCTGAGTCTGCGAAGAGCCCCGTGCGAGTTCCAGCGGGTAACCACCGCTCCCGCCTCGCCGACCACTCGTCGCCGTGCGACGGCCTTCCTGCGACGTCGCCAGCCGTCGCCGAGTCGGATGCCGGTGATGACGACTGCTGTGCTGCGAACATGTCGTCGCAAGCGATTACGCATGCGAAGCAAGTGCAGGCGCAGAGGCTAAGAGACTTGCAGTCGCAGAAACCGGTCTTGCTGTCACAGAAACCTGACGTGCAGTTACAAAGACCAAGGGAATGGCAGGCAGACAGTCTGAGGGATTTTCAGAATGCACACGGGTCCCTGCCGGCAGTTACGGCGTGCTTTCCGCCGCGTTCAGCGGCGGTTTCTGGAGCGGCTCCTTACACGGGCCCGCCGTCGCGCGTCGCTCATCCGACGTGGCAGTCGCTGCGGTTGTCGCAGCAGGTGCGGCCGTCGCAAGCAGGAGAGCAGCACGAGCACGAGGAGGAGCACTTGTCGCATCTGTCGCATGTGTCGCACATGGGCTCGCGAGATTCGGCGACGTCGCACGCCGGGCAGCGAGGCGAGCACATGTACGCCACGGAAGGGAGGGAAGCGGAAGTGGAGGGGTGGGCGGAGAAAGACGAGGAGCGGAAGGAGGGGCATGACGATGAGGGGGAAGCGGAAGGGGAGGATAAGGAGGTGAACGTGCAAGCTACCACTCCCCCCTCCCCATCCCCCCTCTTGTTCTTTCCCCTCTCTCCATCCCCCCTCTCCCACCTCCCCCTCTCGCCTTCCCCACTCAACCCGTCTTTTCTCCCCCCATCTCCCCTTCCGCCAAATCCCCTTCCGCCAACTCCCCTTCCCCCATCCTCCTTCTCCGCGAGTAGCTTCCGCCAATCCGGCCCCACGGCATTGCCCCCCTCCCTTTCGTGCGCGGGCCTTTTCGTTGCCTGCGAAAACCTATCCCCCCGTCCTTCTCGCTTTCGACCTTCGTCAGCAGGGGGCCTATCCCCTCCATTTCCTGCTGCTTCACCTTTCCCTTCTTCCCCTCCAGCTGCCACTGCTGCCACAGCAGCTTCGCCTGCGGCTGCTGCCCCAAAAAGGCCAAGCGCCAGCGCCAATCGTGGCGGATTGTCTGCTGCTCTGCAGCCGTTGCTGCCCAGGACAGGTGCTGACCTGGCAACAGGCGCAGACCTGGCAGCAGCTGCTGAGCTGGCAACATGTGCTGAGCTGGCAGTGCCAAGTGAAGCGCCAGGCAAGCACAGAGACACACGTGGCTATCAGGCCAGCCCGTCACACCCAGCCCTCTTTACCAGCACTCGTGGTTCCGAAATGTTTCAGTACAGTAACACTCGTTACAAGCACCACTGCTACAGTCCCCATAGAGTCAGCACTGCATGTGACCATAGCGAGGAGCTGTCAGCGTCGTTTCACAGCTCACCCCTCGGTAGTGGCACACTATTCCACGTCAGCTCAACTGCAAAAACAAATCCGGGTTATGGGGCGATCAGCAATTGTGGACCTTTGATTACTGATCCCAGTGTTCAGAACCGTCGGATCAATACTTTCGTGCCTGCAGAATCTACTGCACAGATTCATCCAGGATGTTCCGAAGCTGATGTGTCGTTTTCAGGTTCGGCCGTGCCAGTTCCGTTCCCATCCACTCCCTTTGAACGCCACGTCAGCAGCTGCCGCATCAACACCACTCCAGCATCAGCGCCGACAGTCAACGACCTCTTTTTCCACCGCTGGCTCGCTTCCAAGGCTGCCACGTCAGCTTATACCTCGTCAGCCGTTGCCACGTCAGCTTGCAGCGGGGAGAGGAGTCGCGAGCGGAAGTCCCTGCTGAAACGGTCGCTGGTTGGTTCGTTTGAGGAGTCGCTGATGTGGCAGGCTGCTACTGGCCAGGAGGAGGGCAGCGGGGTAAAGGTGAGTGAGGGCCTGTAATCTGCGAGAGGGAAGAAGGAGAGGGGAGTGGGGGGAGTGGGGGGAGTGGGGGAAGTGCAGGGAGTGGGGGGAGTGGGGGGAGTGGGGGGAGTTGTGGGGGGGGGGGGGGAGGGGTCAATGTGTATGGGCTAAAAGAGCTGTTTCCATGCGTTTCTATTATTTGATCTATCCACCCTATCCCCCCAACGGCAGTACATTAGAGGGTTCAAAGCCATGCTAGCCGTGCTGTTGCAGCAAGGGGAGTGGACCGCCGTTCCTGTCAGAACCACCTTTTCAGCAGCCTTCCTCCCCTCCTTTTCATCATCCCCTCGCCCTCCTCTATTTCCCCGTTCCTGTCCCTCTATCCCTCCCCTCATGGAAGTGCATCAGCGGGTTTAAGGCCATGCTAGCGGTGCTGTCGCAGCAGGATGGCCGATCGGCTATCAGAACGGCCCACCTCCTCAGCCGCCTTCCTGCCTCCTGTTCTGCTTCTCCTCGCCCCTCTGCTTCTATATTCCCTTCCCCCCTCCTCTTCCCTCCCCCCCCCATCCCATGGCAGTACATCAGCGGGTTCAAAGCCATGCGAGCGGCGCTGCCACAGCAAGGGGAGTGGACTGCCGACCTACGTGGGAGGGAAATGTGTTGCAGCGCGTGTTTTTGAGAATTCTCAAAAAACAAAGCCATGCTAACCCTGTCAGAACCTCCTTCTTGGCAGCCTTCCCCACATCCTGTTATATTCCCCTGAACCATGTTCCTACACTTATGTGGATTTTACTTTTGAGAATTCTCAAAAGTTAAATCCAGAACCACCTTCTCGGCAGCCTTTCCCACGTCCTGTTCTACTCCCCTAAACCATGTTCCTACGCTTTTGTCCCCCGTATCCCGCCCAACACGGCAGTACATCAGCGGTTTTAAGGCCATGCTAGCCGTGCTGTCGCAGCAAGGCGAGTGGACGGCCGATCCGGTCAGAACCACCTTCTCAGCCACCTTCCTGCCCTCCTGTTCTTCATCCCTTCGCACTCCTCTATTTCTGCATTCTTATCCCTCTGTCCCTTCCCTCACGGCAGTACATCAGCGGGTTTAAGGCCATGCTAGCCGTGCTGTCGCAGCAAGGGGAGTGGACCGCCGACCCGGTCAGAACCACCTTCTCGGCCGCCTTCCTGCCCTCCTCACCGTCCCAGCTGTATGCTGCCAGCATTACGGTTGGTAGAGGGCAGGGGGAGGGGGAGAGTGGAGGCAAAGGGAGGGTAGCAGTGGTGGGGTTGGAGCAATCAGGCACGAGTAAGCATGCTGGCATGGCTCGTGGTGATGCTCCCAGGGCTGACAGTCTCGGTTCTGATGGGTGCAGTGCGGCGATTCCAGTTGACAGAAGAGTCGCGGGTAAGCGCAAAGACACTCGCAGGGAGCTGCTGTTTGGAGTGGAAGGCGGGACGGGAGCAGAAGCGGCAGCAGCCGCAGCAGCAGCCGCAGCAGCAGCAGCAGCAGCAGCAGCACGAGATGATCGGGTAGAAACGAATTCGTCTGGTGATTTTCAGCAAGCTGAAACGGATGGGCGGAAGGAGCAGCAGAGGCAGCAGAGGGCGAGAGTGCGGGTGCCGACCAAAGGGCGCATTCAGCTGCTGCTGTCGAACCCAGAGGGCACACCCATCCACACCTTCTCCTGCTCCTACGACCTCTCTGATATGCCCCCCAACTCCAAGGTGAGAGGCGTGGTGTGAGACATGGTAGGTGAGGCGAGGTGAGGTGAGGTGAGGTGAGGTGCAGTGTGGTGAGGTGAGGTGTCCGTTACATTGCATGGTAAGGTGTGCAATCCACCAATCTACCATTCTCACCTTCTCCTGCCCCTGCGACCTCTCTCAAATGCCACCCCACTCCAAGGTGGAAGGAGGGTTTTGAGAGATGGGAAACAAGGTAATGTAGGTTCCTCCCCTCCTGTAGTTTCATTCGGCTGAAGGCATTTTTCCCCTCTCCTCTCTCCTCTCTCCCCTCCTCTCCCCTCTCCCCTCCTCCCCTCTCCATCTCGTCCGCTCCTCCCCATCTGGCAGACCTTCATTCGCCAGAGAACGCTGCTTGCACCCAAGCACGCTGCCGCGCCCTTCCAGGAAGCTTCCGGTTGCTCAAGCCACCAAGCTCCTCCTCCTTTGCAGCAGCAGCAGCAAACGAGGCAAGGAAACGCACAGGAGCAGCAAGAGGAGGCGCAATCGGGAGCAGTGAGAGCTGTGATTCACCTGCAGTTCCAGTGCCTGCCCAAGCCACGCAGTGCTGCTGCGGCTGCTGTTACTGCTGCTGCTGCTGTTACTGCTGCTGCTCCTGGTGGTGGTGGTGACGGCGCCACTGCTACTGCTGCTGCTGCTGGCGGTGGTGATGCCGCTGCTGCTGCTAGTGGTGGTCATGTTGGTGGTGGTGATGCCGCTGCTGCTGCTAGTGGTGGTCATGTTGGTGGTGGTGATGCCGCTGCTGCTGCTAGTGGTGGTCATGTTGGTGGTGGTGATGGGCAATGGGAGGGGCAAGGGGATGTCCAAGGGGAGGGTTCAAAGGAATCCCGCAAGCACAGGCGTGAGGGCGGCAGGGAACGGAAAACTCGACTGTTCCTGTGTGGCGATGTGCGGGTGGTCTTCCCTCTCTCTGCACCCACCTCCGACAACCTCAAGGTGAGCCTTGCTTGCTATTCTGCTTCGTTGTGAGGTCCAATCCAGCAATCAGTTGGGGGCTGTAGTGGGAAGGGCGTGACTCGTCTGTTCCCGTGTGGCAATGTGCGGGTGGTCTTCCCCCTCTCTGCTCCCACGTATTGACAACCTCAAGGTGAGCCTCTCTCTCCCCCCTCTCAGCACCTACCTCCGACAACCTCAAGGTGAGTTTGCCTTGCCGTGCTTCTTCTTACTTCCCTGCATTGTTTCCCTCCGGTTCAACACCACATGCTGCCGAGGTGACTTTTGGGTCGACTCAAAGGACAATCTCAAGGTGAGTCTGGCTCGCGGTGCTTCTTCTTACTTCCCTGCATTGTTTCCCTCCGGTTCGACACAACACGCGGCCCATTCTTCTTACTCTCGCCCTTCTTTTCCAAACCCTCCCCTGCAGACCGTTACAGAGTACCAGCTTCCATCCAACCCGCGTTTCTTCCCCTGCTGCTGACACCTACACCAATTACGATCACAGATGCTAAAGGTTGTGCTCGCATTTGTATATCGGATGGGTGCACCTAGTGTATAGTACTTGAAACAAGTCAAGGTTCATTGTTCCTCAGGAGCAGAACAAAACGTTTGGCAGCATCCTCTCTACCCCCTTTCTGCCATCTTCTTTTGTATCCTCAGAACAGAACAATAGGCATGCATTTTCTTTCGCGAAGTAATCTCTTGGTGCTGCCAGTTTGACAGAACCACCTTCACCCCAGGGTCGTTGTTTGGTGTAAAAAAAGGATGGATACTGTGTACTGTACTGAATGCATTCAATGCACACCCTAAAAAGGCAATTCAAGCAGCATGTGTTCGCCCAATGTGCTGAGCCCAAGGTGTTATGATTGAACTTGCAGAGTGCGCAGTAAAGCAAATAACGAAAATGGTTGAATACTGAATGACGATACAATGAGTATGGTACGAATAATTAGGGGAAAGGCTAGCTAGGCGGGGAGTTCGGGAAGGGATGGCACGGTGATGGTTGCGATTGGTGCAGAGGCGACCTGGGCGTGGTTTGGTGCAACAAAATAGGCAGAACAGGTTCGTCGCGTGACCCTCGGGATGACCTCGCTAACGAGTGCCTCAGTAAGGATGTGTAAATCCTTACACAAAGGGTGTGGAGCATGTAAAAAGTGATTGAATTGTCTGTTCTGAACACGGTTGATTCGCGTATTATTGTGTTGCTGTAAGCTGTAATACGGTGAAGGGCATTGACCGTCCACCTGTTACGAGTGCAATTGAGTGAACGAACGAGAATTGAACTATCGAAGCAAGAGTACAATGAGCGAATGCATGAGCGAAGAATATATAGCGAAACTACAGTGGTAACGGTAATGGACTGTGGTTGTCGCGCGACGGGCCTGGGACTGAGGTTGGGAAAAAGTGTCGAAGCGGAGGCCCGGAGCGCGGGTTACCCGCCGAGCCGTGCGATGTGCGAAGGTGGCGGGCGGATTGTCGATGCGAGGGTTGCGAGTGGTAACGGTGCTGACTGTGGTGCTACAGTGATGTACGCGTTGAGCAGGGATGCGAAGTAAGGAAAAGGAATTTTCCTTACACTACCCCCCCCCCTAAGGAGGTCCTCCTTACGAAAGTGCGTGTACATCCCTGAAATTTCGGCTGCGCAGATACTCGGTGAGGACGGGGTGGTTTTCGATTCTGTCCAGGGGAACCCAATTGTCTTCGGTGGGTGTACGGTCCTTCCAGCGGAGTAAGAACTCGATCCTTCGGGCTCCTCGAGGGTCGCGAACTCTGTGACTCAGGATTTTCTCGGGGGTGATGATTGGTTCAGTTGGTGGTCTTGTCATGCTGGCTGGGCGATTGCGTGGCAGTTGGCTCGTGGACGGGACGTAAGGGCGAAGTAGGCTGACGTGGAATGAGGGGCTGACGTACCAGTCAGCAGGGAGGAGGAGGTGGGCGGTGACGGGTGTAAGCATGTGGCTTATGCGAAATGGCCCGCAGTATCGGGGGCGGAGTTTCGGGGTGATGGGCAGTCGCAGGTTCTGAGTGTCAAGTAAAACTAAGTCGTCGGGCTGGTAAGTGACAGGTCTGCGGTGGCGGTCGGCGTTGCGTTTAGCGATGATGTTCGATTTTTTTATTGCGTCTACTGCCTGGGTCCGTGCTGCTTGTAATATTTCGGCGAATTGTTGTGCTCGTGGTACTGGGTTGTCGGGATTCGGGGTCATGGGTACTGTCGGGTCTTGTCCGTAGTTTAGGTAAAATGGTGGCTGTTGGGTCGTGGCGGATGGCGAGTTGTTGTACGCGAATTCGATTAGTGGCAGTTGCTGTTCCCACGTGGTCGGGTCGTCACACGTGGCCCTTATGAGCTGTTCCATGGTCTGATTTGTCCGTTCTGTCTGTCCGTCGGATTCGGGGTGGTATGACGAACTGAGCTGCAGTCGTGTGCCGAACTGCTGCCACAGGTTCCGCCAGAAGTTGCTGGTGAATTTCGTGTCGCGGTCGCTGATGATCGCGGCTGGTATCCCGTGCATTCGAACGACGGTGGAGATGAAGAGGCGTGCTGTTTCTTCGGCTGGGATTGATTTTTTGCAGGCTGCGAAATGTGCCATTTTCGTCAGTCGATCGACGACGACCAGGATCGCGTCGTTCCCACTCGCCCCGGCTGGTAACCCCGTGACGAAGTCCATCGTCACCTGCTGCCAAGCACGCTCTGGGGGTGGTATCGGCTGCAACTGTCCCGCCGGCCGCTGTCGTGATGATTTCATGAGCTGACAAGTGGGACACGATGCCACGTGTCGTTGTACGTCGGTCAACATTTCGGGCCAGTAATAATACCGCTGCAGCTGCTGCCGTGTTTTTTCTACTCCGAAATGCCCCGAGGTAACTCCGTCGTGTGCCTCCTGTAATAGTAATTCCCGTAGCAGTGTATACCCAGGCACCCAAATGCGCTCAGTCCCGGTTTTTACGTAATAGACTCCCTTTGCTGCTGCGAACTGCTGCGAATTTCCTCCTGTGAAGAATGGATCCATTTGGTACCCGTGGGTGAATAGGCCTGTCAGTAGCGGGCTTGTCTGGGCGAGCAGTATTGCGTGGATCTGGGCAGTGGGGCGGGTCAGTGCGTCGGCGATGTTCGAGGCTCCCTTTTTGTAAGTGACCGTGTAGTGAAAGTTGGACTCGAGGAAATCGAGCCAGCGAATCTGTCGTGGGTTGAGGTGTGGCTGTGCGCGAAGGTACTGTAGTGATTTACGGTCTGTCCGTACTGTCACGTCCGTGCCAGTAAAGTAACAGCGCCATACTTTGAACGTGTGCACGATCGCAAGCATTTCGCGGTCGTGTATCGGGTAATTTTTCTCGGGCGGATGCAGTTTTCGTGACTCGTATGCGATAGGCTGTAGGCCATTGCCGAAATCCTGTAGCAGTACGGCTCCGATGGCGATATCGCTTGCGTCGGTAACTACTTCGAATGGGCGGTGTGGGTCGGCGATGCGCAGGACGGGCGGTGAACAGAGAACGTTTTTCAGGGCAGAGAAGGCAGCATGCTCTTTCTCCCCCCACGTAAAAGGGACCCCCTTCCGCAGTAAATCCGTCAGTGGGGCAGTTAACCGTGCCATATCGGGGACGAACCGACGCACATAATTAACGAACCCTAAAAAGCTCTGCAGCTCCGTGATGTTCGTCGGGGGATGCCACGCTTTTACCGTATCCAGCTTCTTTGGGTCGACTTCAACTCCAGCCTCCGAAATAACGTGCCCCAAAAATTCTAACCTATCCTGGAAGAACTCGTACTTGGAACCCTTGGTCAGTAATCTGTGCTCGTCTAAAACCTTAAACACTGCTTCCAGATCTGCTAAGTGCTGCTGCTTATCCCGACTGTACACTAGAATGTCCTCGAGGTAAACTATTACACATTTATCTAAGAGCGGCCTAAATGCCTCGTTCATGGTCATCTGAAAAGTCGCCGGTGCGTTGGTCAGCCCGAATGGCATCACAGTGTACTCGAACGACCCGTACCTAGTCGTGAAAGCTGTTTTGGCGCAGTCCGATGGTTCGACCCTAATCTGATGGTAACCTCCCCGTAAATCTATTTTCGAAAAAACCCGTGCTGTTCGCAGTTGGTCGATCAGTTCGTCGGCGCGGGGAATGGGGTACCGCGACTTGACTGTTACCCTGTTCAGTGCTCTGTAGTCGATACACATGCGAAAACCCCCGTCTTTTTTCGGCGTGAATAGTATCGGTGCGGCGAACGGTGACGAGCTCGGTCTGATGATTTTTTTCTCTAACAGGTAATCTAGCTGCTTCCTTAGTTCGTCGAGCTCGGGCTGTGTCAGTCGGAACTGGCGCTGTACGGTTGGCTGTGCCCCCGGTTCTAATTCGATTCGGTGGTCATGTGCTCGCTGAGGTGGCAGTCCTTCCGGTAAGTCGTCGGGGAAAATCCCGGGGTATCGTTTCAACAGTTCCTGTAATTCGGGCGGTACGGCTGCCAGCAGTTTCTTGAAATCACTCGGCTGCTCCGCTTCCTCTACTACTGCGATGTCTACTGCGTACACGTCAGCTCCAGCAGCGACAGCCCGTTTCATTGTGATGGCGTTGACGTGTACCGTTGAAGACTCGGGCGACTGCCAGCGAGGTAGCTCGACCCAGTTACCACTACTTCGCACGGTGCAACTACCCATCGTCCAGTCAATTCGCGGGTTATACCGTCGCAGCCAATCACGTCCCAGTAAAATATCGCGCCCATCCAGTGTCGTTGCGAGCATTTCCTGTGTAAACCCAAAATTTCCCCCGCAGCGGACTTTGACTCTCTCTACCTTTTCCCGTATGGCCAGTGGCGTGCCGTCGACTAAGCGTGCGTCTATCTCCGGTAAGCAACGGCTAAGTGTCAGCTGCAGTTTTCGTGCGGTTGCGGTATTAACTAAACTGTGGCTTGCTCCTCCGTCGATAAAAAACTTCACTGCTGCTCCCTGTATTTTCCCGTGGATCAGTACTGGGCAATCCGTCGCTGTACCCTCCTTATTCGTCCGAGTCCGATCGATAGCATGAATCGGTACTGTGACTCGGTGAGGGTCGGTGGGGTTGGGCGAGCAGGCAGTCTCGTCAGTAGTTGGCCCGATTCCTACTGACTGCTGGCGTTTCCCTGCTTTGGAGACTCCCTCCCCTGCTCTGCTCCGCGGCGCCTTAGCTCCTCTGGGCATTCGCTCTTGCGATGGCCCGGCCTGTTGCAAGCAAAGCAGCGCCCCTTAAACGGCGCGGCAGCTGCATTCGTCGCAATAGCGTGTACAGTGGCGTGCTCGATCGGTCCCCGAGGACGATGTCCATAGTAGGACCTTGGTCTCGGACGGCGTAAAATGTCGATTTTCTCGGCGAGCGCGAGAATCTCGTTGAAGTTCGAGAGCCCGCGTAGCATGATTTCGTGCGAGATGTCCGGCTTCAGCCCTCCGACATAACGGTCCACCCGCTCCGCTTCGTGCATGTAGCCGACCTGCTCGCATAATGCGAGAAAACCACTCGTATAGTCTTGAACCGATCCAAGCTGCCGCCAAGTGCGCAATCTCTGACGCGCCGAAATAGAAGCCGCGATCGGCTCGAAGCGCGCCCGAAGCCCTGCGCACCACGCATCCCACGTGCTGTATTGGGCGGTCTCGCAGAATGAACTCCAGGTGACAGCTGGGCCCGTGGGCCCTTCCTCTTGCGACGGTGGCTCGTAGGCGCGTGGCGACGTCACGATGACTCGCCACCAGTCCATGGCGGGGCCCCTTAGCAGCGAAACGGCATACCGAATCTTCGCTGCGTCCGACTCGACGTAATTCGCGTCGAAGAAGACGTTCATCGTGAAGACGCACGATTGAACCGTCGGACCTCCACGCTGGCTCGGGTCGAAGCAGGGCGGGCGTTGCGGCTTGAGTGGCATTGGTGCCATAATGATCTGTTCGCCACTTGTCGCCGCGAACTCCACGTGCCGACGGGCTTCGCGAGGCTCCCGCGGGCTTGGTGCGACCCTATTTCCTCCCATGCCAGGCATCGGCTGGGCGGCGCCATCGCTGGCTGCGCCTGAGCGCTGTCCCACGCTGTTGTTTTGTGTTGGTGTGCCGGACGAGATGACGATCGGCTCGTCTGATTGTGCAGATGCATTTGTCGGTGCGTGCGGTGGCGCTGGAGTGTTCATCGTTGATTGCTGACGCGCGGAGTCACGTTCCGCCGTGAGCGTCGCAATTTCGAGCGCCGAATCTTCAAGTTGGCGCACCAGACGGTCGAGCTGCTCCTGCGTCAATGTGGCGAGCGTGAATTCGGCCATGGCGGGGGTGTCGGGCGAGCTCAGCGAGAGCCTCGGTCGTGGCCGTGCGTGCTTACGAGAGAGCACTACGAGCGGCGGTGCTGTGTCGCTGAGAGACGTCTACCCCCCCCAAAAATTGAGATAGTGGGGAAGCGAAGGTGTGGGTGCAGTCCGAGAGGAGATCGTAGGCTCTGAATACCAAGTGTTACGAGTGCAATTGAGTGAACGAACGAGAATTGCACTATCGAAGCAAGAGTACAACGAGCGAATGCATGAGCGAAGAATATATAGCGAAACTACAGTGGTAACGGTAATAGACTGTGGTTGTCGCGCGACGGGCCTGGGACTGAGGTTGGGAAAAAGTGTCGAAGCGGAGGCCCGGAGCGCGGGTTACCCGCCGAGCCGTGCGATGTGCGAAGGTGGCGGGCGGATTGTCGATGCGAGGGTTGCGAGTGGTAACGGTGCTGACTGTGGTGCTACAGTGATGTACGCGTTGAGCAGGGATGCGAAGTAAGGAAAAGGAATTTTCCTTACACCACCTTTATTGATTCAATTGTTACACACGCCCTAGAATGCTATCGAGAACGGCGAATTCAATCCGTTGAAGTCCAAGGGCTCATTTGTTTAAAACTTCTAGTAGGCTTGGGCTCAACCAATTTTCGGCACGCGATGTCGCACTGGGATTACTGATACCTGCTCAGGATTGGAATTTGGAAGTGTGTCAGTGTCAAGATGGCCGTAATGTATGAGCCCTCGTATTCCGAGCTCTGTCAACGACCGCCGCATTTGGAAGCAATGCTGCATTGGTCGGCCGAATTCACGTGGCCCATGTGCTGACTTGGCCTGCTTTTTTGTGCCACCAGTTACAATCCGCCTACGTGTCTACGCGTCATGCGCTGGCGGAAGTGATGGGCAATGAAAAGGCCAGGTAGGCGTCGATTACCCAATAAAGGGCTCTCCTGAAATCACGTGCTTTTCCGAATGCAAGAATCTCATGGGCGCGTACACGTCAGCTGAGGATGAGAGTGGACGGCTACGTTTGGTTTCCGTCCCGTTCAACTGCGGGCAGACCGCTCCGTAAGGAATGTGTGTGTGCAATAACTGAGGGCTGCCTGACCTCCTGAACAGACAACCAGCAAAGTTGTGATCGCGTCGCTCGGAACATCCAAACGTAGCTAGAAACATCAAATCGTAACCCTCCGATTCAAGCTGGAAGTTTCTGAAAGCTCTATTTTCCGTCCGATGAACGTCAACCACTCCACGTGCTCCTCCGCGCTGACCAGTTACAGCGCCGCAAGGTTCCTCCCCTCGTTATCCTGGTACTGATTCCAGTGCAGACTATTCCCTAGGGTTTTACCTTGGGCTGGAGTTGTGCTACCAAAGCTGAAAGCTCCAAGGCTGGATCTCTCTAGGCTGGTGAGTTCTCAGGGGTTGTCCAGCTCGTACATTTACTGTTCGTAAGCCCGCTCAGTTACCACATTTTTTGTTGTAACACTGTATTGAACGTGTCCTGCGGACACAATCAGCTTTCGTTCACAAAACGTACCTCATGTCGTCTGACTCACGTTACTGGAATCAGCGGGGACACGAACAATGGTACAGCACCGCGTCCTGGCCACTACAGTAGCGCCCCCTGTGTCGCTTGCACAATTTCGCCAGTAGCTCGCTACACTCGTCAACACAACCCCCGCCTGCCCAAAAATTCGTTAGCTATGATTGACGACGGAAACAGTTACCTCGTTTTGAACGCGATCAGAGCACTGTTGATTCGTGTGGCGGAGAACGTGTCCGCGCTCCTGAAATTACATGTAGGTGGGACTCAACTCACAATGCATTCGTTTTTAGGTACAGTGAATATTTTTGAACCTCGAGACGTGTGTTGGCACTAAAAACCCCGAAATGAACGAAATGGACACCCCCTCAAGGCTCGACAACTTGCTGGATATCCTGAGCTGTCCAAGACAGGGCTTTTCTTCCTCCTCATCTCCTCGGGGCCAACTTCATGCTTGTATCCCTCCTCTTTAGTTTCGTGAAATACTAGGCTCATTCCACGCCAGGGTTTTGGATTATACTTGTGACGTTGCGAGTTCAGAGGTCTTGTGGCCGCATCCACTCTGCCTAAACAATATAAAAAATCAAGTTATTCTCGCTCAACAGCCGTACAGCTGTTGAGTCCTTGCGTCATTCTTGCATCATGCAACACAGCTTGGTATTGTAGCTTCGTAGAGTGAAGAGGAGGACGTGTTCCAGATTCCTCTCATTGTCGTCACCCCTACATCAGGCTAATTTCACTTCTGTGTAAGGTGAAGTTTAAGTTATCACATTTTCATGCATTCGCTTGCTCCTGTTCGTCTCACCGAGTAAAAGCAAGCCTGGATTCCATCTGGTTCCGTTTTCCTTTACTCATGCAGCAATCCGGGTAGAAAATCTGCTCACTTCGTGGTTTTTATGGTTTGTCTCAGGGCTTCATGAAGACATGATTCCGACGAAATGTTCGTCATAGCTAACGAGGGTGGTGGAGGACCGGGTCTTGTAAATACGGGTCGGGTAGACGCGTGCCGTCAAGCGGCGCAATTGTCCGATTTTCAGGTAATTAAATTCTCGTGGAGGTTGACACCTCGTTCGAGGTGCATGCTGCTCCCGCGATCGCGCTTCTTGCCCCCCGTACCCAACCCCGCGTTTGTTATATCGATCTCGTTTCCACATTTTGATTTCCGTGCTGTCCTTGTTTGAAACAGCAATTTTACGTCCTTATCCCTCCGCTCGTTCCGCAGGTTCCGAAGTCACAGGAATTCGTCTCGTCTCCGGATCGTACCTTAGCAATGGCATCAGGGCAATCAGGGACACACGCAGACACCTTAGAAGACCAGCTTAGCGCTCTAGATCACCGCTCGTTCACTCCTGTATACCCCATGGCTGACGGAAGCCGGACTTGGCATGGCGGAAACCTCTTCTACACCCTCCAGGCTCAAACCGCTTTTCAGAGGGAAACCGCGCTCCAGGCTCAAAATGTCGCGTCTAGGACGGTCTCGGTTGACGACATAGGTATTTCGGCTGCTGCGTATCGCAACCACCTCCAAGCTTCGACCGCGCGTTTGGATGGCACTTTTGGCGGTCAGCAGAATCAGGCGGTGTTGTCGGGTCACGCCGGCGGTTTTAATGGTGGATGGCCAGGCGGGAAGGACGGAGGCGATACGGTGGCGATGCCTTACGATAGCGCAACGTCTTCAGGGTTGCTCGACAGTAGGCTCGAAGTTCCTCATTTGCCGCATAGCCGCAGGAACGGCGTCGGCTTGTCAAGGGTTTTTTCGGCACGGGAAAGCCCAGCTTTTGCGCTGCAAGGAGGCGGCGAAACCCCGATGGAAGGGGTGGAAAGAGCCTCCGCCGCCGCCTCTTCTGCTGCTGCCGCGGGCGGTGAATGGACCGGGCGAAGAGACGGGATAGCTCAGGGTCAAACCGCCTTCAGACTCGCTTCTCAACAGCACGGATCGCTCGCGCCAGACGAGGGTCGATACACGGACAGGATCTCTCCCAATGCCTTGAATCAGACACTGCGATCGACGCCGCCGCAGCAAATTCCTGCAACGTACAGGCTCTCTCCGAACGCCACGGACCATACGCTGCGATCGCCGCCGCAGCAACGACTGCACTTTCAGGGGATGCAAGCGCCCGGGCAGACTCAACTCGCGGCCTTCCCTCACAGGTTATCCCCTCCCGCTGCTGCGTCTCCCCTCGGCTCGCCGGGCTGGCAGCACCGCGGGAACGACAGCCCGTCGTCTGGTAACCAGTCCGCCGGTTATTCGTCCGGCAAGTCAGCGGCAGGGTCTGGGAGCACGGCGTGTGGTTCGCGATCGTCGCTGCAGCCGCGGCTGGACGATGCGGATCTCACGAGTGTACTTTGGGAGAGTCGGTCTAGGTGCATTGTATCTGGCGCTGGCGCTGGCGCTGGCGCTGGCGCTGGCGCTGGTGCTGCGAGTGCGTCGGGAGGGTTTCAGGGCGATGGGAGTGCGCATGGTGGTCAAGTAGGTCGATCAGACGGCAGCGTGCTCGGCGATCAATTGGGGCAACGAGACGGCAGCGTGCACGGCGGTCAATTGGGTCAACGAGACGGCAACGTGCACGGCGGTCAATTTAATCAATTAGACGGCAGCATGCACGGCGGTCAAATCAGTCAACGAGATGGCAGCGTGCACGGCGGTCAAATGAGCCAACGGGACGGCAGCATGCACGGTGGTCAACTTAGTCAACGAAACGGCAGCGTGCACGGTGGTCAAATTAGTCAACAAGACGGCAGCCTGCACGGCGGTCAAAATAGCCAACGAGACGGCAGCATGCACGGCGGTCAGGTGACTCTTAGGGAGGGAAGTCTGCATGGCGGTCAAACGAGTCAACTGGGCGGCAGCACGCATTGGGGTCGTCAACTGAGTCATTTAGGCGGCAGCGCGCATGGTGGTCAGCTGTTTCAACCGGACGGCAGTGTACACGGCGGTCAAGCGAGTCAACTGGGCGGCAGCGTGCATGGCGGTCAAGCGAGTCAACCAGGCGGCAGTGTGCACGGCGAAACCAACCCTGCACGCGGCGACCACCTAGCCCGCCTTCACGCGAGCAGCAGCGTGCACGGCGGCGGCTTTTACACCAGCGGCCTTGCCTCGGGAGGCCTCTACGGCAGCGCGCTCCATTTCCCCAAGTCCAGTGCACACAGCGTAAGGGGCAGTGCAGGGGGCAGCGCGCAAGGCAGCGCGCAAGGCAGCGCACGGGTCAGCGCGCAGGGGAGCAATGAAGCCAAAAGGGGCGTCCACGGTTTCGGGGGCAGTGCCCAAAGATGCATTCCGCCCCGCGCTAGTACTGTTCACGGTGGTAACCTGTACTCCGCGAGCATGCACGCCTCGCACAGCTATGACGGCCGGGATTTTCACTTCAACGACCGTCAGCACGGCCGTCAGCAGGGCCGTCAGCAGGACGGCCAGCAGGGAAGGTCAAACGCGAGGGAGGGCTTGCATGGGAAGGCGAATGTCTTGAACGGCATGCAGGCTGGGTTTGGGAGCATGCACCAAGCGGGTGGGAGTGTGTATCAGGGCGATGGGAGCGTGCACAAAGCGGGAGGAAGTGTGCATCAAACGGACGGGAACGTGCATCAGGCCGATGGGAGCGTGCACAAAGGGGTTGGGAGTGTGCATCAAACGGATGGGAGCATGCACAAAGCAGAAGGGAGCGTGCAGCAGGCTGATGGGAGTGTGCACTGCGTGGGCGTGGGCGCTAGCGCTAGTGTCCTCGCCAAGCTGCGGCTGGAAGGCGGGGATCGGTTGAATGCGGTGCCTGGGAGTTCGGAGGCCGCTGTGCGTGGTGGTGGACTTTTCGGGAGTGTCTTTGGCCCAGGGTTCGGCCCTGGGGCTGGCTTTTCCAGGGGAGAATTTTCTGGGGCAGGCCTTTCAGGGACGGGCGTTTCTGGGATTGGTTCTTGCGAGGCTAACGAGGGTTTTGGTCGAAGTGGGTGGGAGCGAGGGCTTGGCGCTGCTGCTGCTTCTGGTGCTGCTGGCGCTGCTGCTGGTGCTGCCGGTGCCAGTGGGTTTGAGAGCCTTTCGGATCTGGAAAAGGCGTTCACGTCAATCCATGGGCATGGGCAAGAGCAAGCACGTGACATCAGCCAAATCACAAACCCAGGCTTAGTAGCTGCGAAGAGCAGCGTGAAGGCAGAAGCACATGTGACAATTGGGGAGGACCTAGATTCGGAAAGAAACGTGGGCATGGGGAAAGGTACGGAAATGAAAGGGGCGAAGGGTATGGAAGGAATGGAAGGAGCAGCGGACGCGTTAAAAGCTGACGCGATAGCAGCAGACGCAGCAGACGCGGTAACAGCTGCGGCCGAGGACATGGGGTTTGACGCCCTGGCGGAGTATTTAAACTTCCCTGACGATGACCTCCCCTGGTCCAGTCTTCAAGGCTGGGATGAGCTGATGCTGGGAGGCAGTGGAGGGGGGGACGCAGGGGGGGGATTGATGGGGGGCGGAGAGGCAGGCGCGGAAGGGGGATGGAATGGGGGCGGAGGCGGAAGCGGACCAGGAGGAGGAGCAGGATTAGGAGCAGGAGCAGGCGTAGATGCAAGGGGCGGAGCGGGGGGAGGGGCAGGGGCAGGTCTGGAAGGAGGCTCGGCTGCAGGTGCTGGAATGCTTGCTGGTTCGGCTGGAGGAGGTACGGATATGGAGGGAACAGAGGATGACGTCATGTGCCGCGGGCACTTGGCACTGACTGCTGACGTGTGCGTGCGTGGTGGCATGCTCATGTCTCTACTGGCTGACGTCACAAGGCTTGGAGGTGGGGGCGGCGGAGGAGAGGGAGGGGAGGGGCAGGCAGGGGCAGGGGGGTTTGATAGCTTGGATGGGCTGGGGCACTTTGGAGGGGAAGCGGTTTCTGCTTCTGCAGACAGCAGCGGCGCTACAACCGGCAGTGCTGACGCGTCAGCTAGCGCTGGCGCTACAGCTAGTGCTGACGCAACTGCCAGTGGTGACGTGGACAGCGCTGACGTCAGCGCTGGGGATGATGACAGGGGCGAAATGTACATGGGGGGCGGAATAAGGGCGCAGGACGGTGGGGCGTCAGGGAGTAACGACGTGTACAGTCACCAACACGGTCAGGGCTTCGCAGGCCGTAGGCACAACGACGGCCACAGCCATAGCCACAGCCACAGTCCTAATGAAACACGTGGCACCAGTCTGAAGCATATGGAGCAGGTACAGACAATGCAGAATGTAGCAGCAGCAGGGCTCGGGGTGGGGTTGGAGGAGGGAGGTCTAACGGACATTGCGCCTTCCAGTGCGGATTTACTGAGAGAGGGTTTCGGGTTTGATGCTGCAGCGATGGACTTAGAGTTGATGGCGGCTTGGGGGAACGCTGCTGGAGTGAAGGTTCCAGGAGGTTTTGGTGCGGTGCAGAGCAGTGAAAGTGATGTCATGCGCATGAATGGTGGGCACCAGCAGGTGCAGCAGCAGCAGCAGTGGCAGCAGCAGCAGCTTCATATCAGTGGCAACGAGGTTTCTGTCTCTGCTGGCTATCTAGCCCTTGACGAACTAGACCAGTCAGACCTCCTCTTGCTGCTTGAGCAACAGCAACAGCAACAGCAACAGCAACAGCAACAGCAACAGCAACAGCAACAGCAACAGCAGCAGCAGCAGCAGCAACAGCAACAGCAGCAGCAGCAACAGCAGCAGCAGCAGCAAGAGCATCAGCAGCAGCAGCAACGACAGCAGCAGCAGCAGCAGGAGCAGCAACAGCAGCAGCAACAGCAGCAGCGACAGCAACAGCAACAGCAACAACAGCATCAGCATCAGCAGCAACAGGAATCGGGTGTTGGGAATGTTGGGGGGCAAATGGGGGGACAGGTGGGAGGGCGGATGGGAGGTCAGATGGGGGTGCAGATGGGAGGGGAAATGGGAGGACAAATGGGAGGGCAAATGGGAGGACAAATGGGAGGACAAATGGGGAGACAGCTGGGAAGTCACATGGTGGGGCAGATGGGAGGGCAGATGAGATCCGCGCCGAAGCTTCCATCCACTGTGCTCCTCCCTGCCTGTATGCAAAGCAAGCCAGAAGCCACTGCCGCTGCCACTACCAATACCAGCGCCGCTGCCGCTGCCACTGCCACTGTCCATGCGAATGCACCCTTTTCCCCATCCTCCACCAACCAATCACAAGCAGCCTCTCCGTCCTGCTTCTCCCCTGCCTCTGCTACCTCTGCTGCTGCTCGTGCTACAACCCAGGAACTCGGTGTAGCCACCCGTGCTGCCAAATCCACCCCTTCTCATTCCCCCCAAAGTCTCGGCCGTTCGTCCAATCTCCCCCAATATGGGGCATCGTGCCACACGAACAATAATAAGGTAGCAGCAGCTACAGCGGCTACAGCAGTTGCAGCAGAAGCTACAGCTGTTACAGGAGCTGCAGCATCTGCAGATGGAAAGAACGAGGCAGTACAGGGAGTGGGTGGATCGGGGGGACAGGAGAGCGGCGGAACTAAGGGGGTAGGAGGCGGAGGAGGGGGGGGGGGTAGCAGCTGCAGCTCTGGAAAAAGCAGCCGGAAATCCAGCCCAGGCTTCCGCACAGGAAGCAAGAAGGCAACAGGAAAAGCAGCAGGAATGGGCTTGGGTGTGAATACGGGCATGGGGGCAGGCATAGGGATGGGTATGGGGGGTATATCCAAAGCAGGTTTCTACAACGGAGCAGTATCAGTCCACGCTAACCGCGGCTACTGCTGCATGGGAGGGAGAGGCTGCACCGGCGGCCCCTCCTGCCACCACAACCGCGTGCCTCCCGCTCTATTTATGATGGCAGCTGCTGCCGCAGCAGGCACGGGAATGATACCCATGGGTGCCGTGGGTGCTTACAGGCAGCAGCTGCAGCTGCAGGGGAGGCTGGTGAAGCGGGTAGAGCCTCCTGTGAAGAGGAAGCGGGGCAGGCAGAAGAAGGTCCCTTCGAAGAATGGGCCGTGTGGGGCGACGACGAATTTAAGAGCGCTGGTTCCGAGGTCTATGTCTGGGGCAGGAGGAGCGGGAGGAGAGGGGGCAGGAGCAGGGGCAGGGGCAGGGGCAGCGGCAGGGGCAGGAGGGGTGGGAGGGGGGGGAGCAGCAGGTGTGGGGATGCAAGCAGGGAATGCTGGGGCGATAGCAGCAGCGCGGGCAGCATCAGGAGCAGCAGCAGCACCGATGCAGATCATACAAACATTTCCTCCCGGCCCGCCTGCCTTATTCCCACACCAGTTGATCCCAGCTCCTGCTCCTTCCCACCTGCCTTCCGCCGCAGCAGGTGTAACCCCAGGTGCTGCAACAGTGCCCATGTTCTGGGGGCCTGTGGCATGGATACACCCCTCTGCTGCTGCCGCTGCTGCTGCTGCTGTTAATGCTACTGGTGGCCCCTCACCTATGCTTGTGTCTGGTGGTCATGGCTTGCCAATGCCTCTGCACATGCAGCAGGCAGGGATGGGAGGTATGGGCGGGATGGGGATGGTCGGAGGGATGGGTGGTGCTGACATGGGGGTTGGAGGGATGATGGTACAGGCAGGGGGGCGGGGGCATGAGGTAGCGGGAGTGGGTAGTGATGGGAGGGTTCATGGAGGCCTGATTGGAAGTGGAATGTCGCAGCCGGATGGGACAACATGATGCTGAGGTTTGTGAATCATGAGGTGTATCATTTATACGCTAACTTAATGTACGTTACTAGCATTACTACTACCGTAGGTACTTGCAAAAATTATCTGGACATAACCTGATGACTGTAGAGAAGTTATTTGCCATCTAACTGTTGCAACAAGTGCACATACTGTTCGTATACAAGAAACAAACATGTTAATTACAATGTATAAGAGGGCTGTATTTCAAGGCATACTACTTGTTACACCATACCCTAACACTCTATGACGAGTCACAAGGAGGGCTTGGTCCCGTCAACCTCTCCATTGGAGATAAGGTGCGCCATGTAGTGCTGGGAGAATAAAAAAGGTCCGTTGGTGGGTGGGGGGATGGCGGGGGTGGATGGTTGATTAAGGGTTGATGGTTGGTTTGACATGGTTTTGAGTGGTTGGAGGGGAGGGGGACAAAGGGGGTGGGTGGTGAAAGCTTACAAAATGCTTTTCCTTTACTCAGATCGGAGTCAGTTATTCCAGACAAACAGGAAAGACGAATGATAGGCATACCGCTCGGCTTGTGCCCCCACACCCAAGTTACTCACAGCATGGTAGGCGTACGCTCGCTGCCCCTGCCTCTCATAGTGCTTTGCTAGAATGGTGAACTCCAGGGGACCCCAGTCAGATTCCTCAAACACATTCCCCAGTGCCCGCTGGTACAGCTGAAATGGGAGAGAACGAAGAGAAGAGTGAGAGAAGAGTAAGAGAGAAGGAGAGATGATGAATGGTGAAATCCAGAGGACACCCCAGTCAGACTCCTCAAACACGTTCCCCAGTGCCCGCTGGTACAGCTGAAATGGGAGAGAACGAAGAGAAGAGTGAGAGAAGAGTAAGAGAGAAGGAGAGATGATGAATGGTGAAATCCAGAGGACACCCCAGTCAGACTCCTCAAACACGTTCCCCAGTGCCCGCTGGTATAGCTGAACAAAGCACAGAGGAGGGAGTGGAGAGACCAGGGGAGAGAAAGAGAAGCAGCGAAAGAAGCGAGGAGACGTTGAATGGTGAACTTGAGGAGAACCCGTTTGGTCTCCTCAAAGACGTTTCCCGGAGTAAGATGGTACAGCTGAAGAGTTTTGAGACGTCTCAAAACACTTTTATTATCACGTTTCCCAGGATACGCTGGTACAGCTGATGCGGGAAGAAAGGAGAGAGGAGGAGAGAAGGAAGGAGGAAGAGGACAGGAGGACCAGAGAAGAGAACGATGAGACGTCTCAAAACACTTCTTTCTACATTTCCTCGCCAAAAGCACAGTTTTGAGGCGCCTCAAACTTGCGCTCACCTTGGTAGTGTCCACGTGAAGCGAGGTTGTTTTTGAGACGTCTCAAAAAGGCGCCTCAAACTTGGGCTCACCTTGGTAGTGTCCACTAGGATTTCCGCGCCAGAAGCATACCCGCTGTAAGGCGTAGCCACCAGCGGCACGTGCGCTCGAATGCTAGCAAAATGGGGAGAGGGGAGGGGGGAGGGAAGGCGGGGAAGAGGGGTGGGGGAATGAGAGGGTAAGAGAACGTGGGAGATAAACTGTGTCGAGTTGAATAATTAGTACCCGCTGTAACACTTAGCCACCAGCGGCACGTGCGCTTGAATGCTGGAGAGAGGGGGGACGAGAACGGGGGAAGCCATGTGGATAGAGAGAGCGAAGGGACGAGGGGAGAGGTCGGAAATGACCAGGGCAGGGAGTGGGAGGGACGAGGGGAGGGACGGCGGAAGGACGAAGGCAGGGCTTCGACGTACGCTATATTAGCGTAGGTGTACGCGGCACAGGCAGACGCGATATAAATCCCCGTGTAGAAGCCTAGCCGGCGGAAACGGCGAATCTGCCAGAATGAGCCTCTTGGAGGAACGTCGCTGCCGCTTTGGTGCTGCTGACGTGGCAGCGGGCCAGCGGACATCGAAGTGAAATACAGAAAAATTCCGAAACCGCGTTTAGTGAAATAGTTTTGCTGGAAATAACGTTGCGAGGAGAAAGTTACTAGGCCTGGAGGTACCGAGTGATAGTTTCTTAGGCAGTGGGAGGGAAATACCAAGTAAAAAAAAGCTGGCATACAGAGGGTATCGTTTCAGGTACATGTGTAACACTACTGAATTTTCAACGAGCTGTGGAATCTAATACAGACGATGTGAATGTGTGTGTTTTCTGTAATCACAAATTTCGCTAACGGAATTGTGGAGCGAAACAGCCCGCTCGCTTTTATCGCAGACCTGCGTGGATCACAATTTCCCGCCACATGCCATTTTGACGGCCTGCGAATCTGCGATCCGACTGAATTGTCTAGCCCACGAAACGAAATGGCCAGTTTCAGCTGAACTCGAAAAGTTGAACCTACGAAACCAGTGTAGATGATGCAAAACCGCTTTGAAATCTACATCAACTATACCAAACCGTACAGCGAACTTCCATGCCACTCCTTGGGAATGCACCAGGGTTCAGCAACCATTGATTCACCGACCACCTGGGGGATCTCCGGCCGTCAAGTATGATGGAAAACGTTAAGCTAAGCGATCAGGGAGTTTCGCGAAGAACCACACGCGGCAGGTGGGTCCACCAACCAACCATTCTCGAGGACCCCACAAGCACCACTAGACGAACGCCTTTTTTCCAGAAGACCATTCTGAGCCTTTGCAAACCGATCGAGAACTGCTTATACCGTGGAGAAGCTACCAAGGATTGCAACAACTGCCTCATCTAAATGGCCTGCAGCCACACAGTCTCAAGGTCTGATTTCTGCAAGCAATGAGAATGCTGATCTTCGTTCAGGCATTCTAAGAACCACGCTTGAGAGTGTTTGAGACTATTGCCGTCCTGTGTCGTCTAAAGGGTCAAGGCTTCATAGTACGGTATCCATCTAGGCTTATCAAGATTGATACGGATCCGGTGCGTCGGCGCCAATGCATGTCAGCGAGTCGTGTTGTGATCTGACAAGCGTCTAGATATCAATACTCCTGGCCAAGCTACTCAGACTGCAGAAAAGTGGTCCTTTTCTCTCGAGTCACAATGGTGAGGCGTTTTAGTAGTATGAAGGCGGTTCTCTTCCAGTTGTTTTGTATTCTGTTATGAATGTTGTTCTGTTATAACGAATGAATTTTCTCATTTTTCTCATTGGTTCTCAGGCGAAACGCACTCAACTGATCGCGATCTTCCTTCTTTTCCTATTGGCCACGACCTCTACAATGGTCAGCGCCAAGAAGAAAACGTCAAAGGTTGCAGAAGATTCCCCCGCTGCAGAGGTTGCAGAAGATTCTCCCGCTGCAGAGGATGCAGCAGCTACGGAAGAAAAAACGCCAGTCGCTGCAGAAGCAGCAGAATCCGCCGGTGACGGGGAATCGGCGGCGGAAGCTAAGGCTTCCGCCGATGAAGGGGAAAAGGCGGAAGGCGAAGAGGCGAAATCAGCTCCCGCAGCAGAGGAAGCGGCGAAGGACGAGAACGAGGGAGAGGGGGAGGATACCACCGGAGCTGACGCTGCTGCTGCTGGGGATGGGGAGGACCCCCCTCCGGGAAGTCAGCTGGAGCAAGATATCATCAAGGCGGAGAAGAAAGCGGGAGACATCTTCCCTGCTGGTACGGACAAAATTATAAAATTTAATGGCGACGTTATGATGATGTAAAATTTCTTGATTAGATCCGAGTGACACAGAGCCTGCAGACGATTCGTGAATGGGGCTTGTGCCTTGCTCTCGCTGACGTTGGTCCGATCGTTAACCCCGACGGCTTCACTTGAGTCAATTCGATCGTTTCGCGTTCTCCAACAGTGGTCACCAGATCGTAGATTCTTGACGGACCAATCTGAATGAACTCGTCGTTTCCGCTTCACGTTAGCCTCCCGGTTCCGCGCTTAACGCACTCCCATCTTGTCTCAGTCCTGTCCGATTATTACGTTCCAAGCATTTGATCTGTCACAGGAGCGTGCACAGCGCAATGCTTACCCAGGCCAAGCAGTGGATAAGGCTTGAGCGAATGTATGCGTGCAGTGCAGGGGTGTGCAAGGCGGGGATCAAGCCAAGGGCGTGGACCTGATCAACAGGTGTTGAGGCGGGTGTTGATGCATCTCAATATGAGCTGGGTGTGTGACTTCATCGAATGTGTGTGCTGTGCTGTGTCTGCGGCGCCTGATTGATTGAGTGTGTGCGTGCAGGGACGTGAGCAGCAGGTGTTAAGGCGCTTCGATACAAGCTGGGTGTGTTTCATTCAAATTTACCGTGACTGCTGTGCGTGATTGCGTGTGTGCGTGCAGGAGCGTGCAAGAAGGAAATCAAGTCGTTCTGCGAGGGCGTGGACGTGGGCAACAGGAGTCTGGAGCGCTGCCTCTCTGACAGCTTCAAGCTCACCAAGGCTGCTGACGGTGAGAAGAGAAACCGCTGACGGTTATCAGTCAGGCGCTGACGGTGAGCATTCAGGGCCGTCGAGTTAGCAGTCAGGACGCTGACAGTTAGATTTCAGGCCGCTGACGGTGAGCGAGCAGGGCGCAGCTGACAGTCAGCAGTGAAGCTGCTGACGGTGAGCAGTCAGGTCTCTGACAGTTAGCACTCTCTGATGGCAAGGATAGTGACGACGAGGCCACTGACGAAAAGTTTAACTAATGTACGTTTTTCAAACAGGAGCTATCCATTAGAAGGAACTGGAATGTCCCATGGGAGAACCGTTTCCCCTTGCCCTGTTCCCCTTGGCCCACATCACAATCCCACAGCTGTTTTTGCTGAAGAGAAGTTACGCAGCAAAGTTCTTGGGGCGGTTCAAGGTTAACCCGTTTTCATTTTCCCATTTCCCCTTTAACCTTTCCCTGGGCCTGCACGCACATCATCCCTCAGCTGCTTCAGCGGACAAGATATTGGATACGACATGCCTTGTGGCGGTTCAGATTTGAACCTTATTTCTTACCCCGGTTCCCTTCTCCCTGGCCCCTTACCTCTTTTCCCTTCCCGCTGGCCTTGCCTCCACGCTACCCCTCAGCTGCTTCGGCCGATAAGAAGTTTGGCAAGAAGTGCCTCAAGGCCATCCGACGGTTCAAGATCGAGGTGTACAAGGACATTTCGATCGACAAGGAGATGAGTAAGTGCTGTGAATGAAGAACATGGCTGTTGAGGCACCTCAAAAGTGCCTCAAGGCCATCCGACGGTTTAAGATTGAGGTGTACAAGGACACCTCAATTGATAAGGAAATGAGTGAGTGACGCGCACATGATATTGCAAAGAAATAAATTGTGGATACGAGATTAACGTGATTCAAAACCTCAGTGGTGTTAGCAGCCTGACTGCTGTAAGGAGGATGAAGATGTAAACAAAGTTGGAGGATTTGTACCCTTTACTGCACCCTTGGTTGGAGAAATTAGGGGTTCAAGAGAGTACTACTCTTAAACAAACTGTTAGTGATACTGTGGCTGCATACTTTTTCACCCTAAATTCTCTTTTCTTCTAGCAGTGATGTCCTGCTGGTGCTGACACACGTTTCTCCCTAAAGCTCGTTCGCGATTCTCTGTGTGCCCGTGTCATGTGTGTTCTCTTTTGTGGATGGGGGGTGGGGAGGGATGTGTGTGTGTGTGTGTGTGTGTGTGTGTGTGTGTGTGCGTGCGTGCGTGTGTCTGTGTCTGTGTCTGTGTGTGTGTCTCTCTGTGTGTGTTCACGTATATGGGGGCAAACGCGGGTCTCTGCAGTGGAGGTGTGCAAGGACGACATCTCATCGCTCTGTGATGATGACTTCCTCTACCCCGAAGTCGGCAGTGTCCTCGCCTGTCTCAGGTGCGTGCCTTAGGTGCCAGTCCCTCCCCTCTCAAAATCCCTCTCAAATCCTCTCTCAAGGACGACATCTCATCGCTCTGTGACGATGACTTTCTCTACCCCGAGGTCGGCAGTGTCCTCGCTTGCCTCAGGTATGCCTCTTTTAGCCCCACATGCCCCCCTCTCCTCCCACTTACTACGCCCCTCTTATCCTCATCCGCTCTGTGACGACGACTTTCTCTACCCCGAGGTTGGCAGCGTCCTCGCTTGCCTCAGGTGCGTGCCAACCACCACCTCCCTCCCCTCTCAACCTCCTCTCAAACCCCTTCCCAAAGTCACGCCCGTGTTAGGAAATGGGGGGGCATTGCAATGCAATGGAGGTGCGCAGGAATAGCATCTCCCTCGTTCTGTGACAATGACTTCTCATCTCTCAGCTGAAGCCATTCCCCCCTCTCCCAACCCTCCCCCCCCCCTCTCCCCTTCCCCCTCACCCCCCTGCATCAGCTCCCCTCAACCTCCCCACAAACCCCCGAACCCTCCCCCTTACACTTGTTCCTACCAGGGAGGCGAAATCAGGAGGCAAGATATCGGAGGCGTGTGGGCAGAAGGTGTTTGAGGCGCAGCAGGACGCGGCCAACGACTTTGCCTTGGATCCCCAGCTGAAGCCATTTCACTCGTTGCCGAACCCCCACCCCCCCTCACACTCGTTGCTACCAGGGAGGCCAAGTCGGGTGGCAAGATATCGGAGGCGTGTGGGCAGAAGGTGTTTGAGGCGCAGCAGGACGCGGCCAACGACTTTGCCTTGGATCCCCAGCTGAACGAGACGTGCTCTGGGGACGTGCAGCGGCTGTGCGCTGATGTGCCGACCGGGGAGGGGCGCGTGCAGGACTGTCTGGTGGGTGCTGTGTGTGGGGATGAAGGGGTAAGAAGGTTGGGGTTTCGGGGGTGTTGTGCGGTTGAATGTGAGCGACCTTGCTCTGGATCCTCAGCTGAACGAGACGTGCTCTGGGGGCGTCCAGCAGCTGTGCACGGACGAAAGCACTGGGGAAGGGCGGGTGTGGGACTGCCTGGTGGGTTGGATTTGCGTGTGTGTGTGTGTGATTGTATGTGGGAAAATGGGAAAGGAGGGGAGGGGGGTTTGAGTTCGGTTGGGGGTTGTTGCGCGGCTACAGTGCGAGCGACTCTGTGCTGGTTGTTCCAACTTCCCTCGTTCCGTCCGTCCTTCCGCCCTTTCCTTCCGTTGTGTATGTGTCTCCACCAGAGGGACCACAGGAACAGCCTCAACTGGGAGTGTCTGGCGGAGCTGTTCCGGCAGGAGATAGAGAGCTCAGAGGACATTCGCCTCAACACTCGCCTCTTCAAAGGTGAGCGTCAGTGCACATACATACATGTACTTCTCAAATCGCGGTTTGGCATATAGATCCAGTTCCCCCCTCCCTCTCCTCATTTTCCTTCCTCCCCTCCTTCCCACCCCCCCCCCCCCCCCCCCCCCCGCCTTTCCTTCCTCGTCCGCTTCTCTCCCCTTCCTTCCCCTCCTCTTTCTCACATCAACCTCTCCCATACTGCTCGGAGGAAAAGCACCGTGTTTGCCCCAAAAACTGTTGAGACGTCTCAGAAACTGCCGGTGGGAAAAGCACCGGTTTTGCCCCAATGTGCTGCAAAGCGATGCTTGATCGGTTCTTCTCTCTTCTCTTCCCATCCTGTTATCCGTTCTCCTCTCCTCTCTCTGCCCCGCCCTCTTCCCAGCCTGCCTGGAGGACAAGCGCCGATTCTGCCCCGACGTGCTGCCAGGGGATGCGCGAGTGAAGGACTGCCTGGAGTCGCATCTGCACGACTCTGACTTCTCCAAGACCTGGTGAGTGGAAGATATTGGGGAGGTGGGGAGACAGGGTACGGGGTTGGGGGTTTAGGAATGATGAGTGAGAGGGACGACAGGAATGAGTGAGACAAGCTGGGAGGGGGGGGGGTGACGGCAGGCAAGGTGAAGGTCTGCTTGGAGTCGCACCTGTTGGACACTGACTTCTCAAGTGCGTTGAGGTGTATGTTGAGGCGCCTCAAAATACTTACTGTTAAACACTGACTTCTCAAGTCATGGGGTGAGGGGAGGAAGGTGTGAGGGGCGGAGAAGACGGGGGGGGGGGGGGTGTGGGTCAGATTCTCCCTCCACCCTGCGCAGAAAGGTGGAAATCGAGTGCATCATGGAGCACAGGGCAGCACTCAGAGGTTGCGTACCCTCTTTGGTAGACGCCAACACACTAACATTCGTAGGACGGAAATATGTTGCAGCGTATGTTTTTTGAGAATTCTCAAAAAACATACGCTCCCTCCACCCCGCGCAGAAAGGTGGAAATCGAGTGCATCATGGAGCACACCCCATGGTGCATCATGGAGCACAGGGCAGCACTCACGTCGCCTTTTCCCCCCTCCTCCCCCCTCCCTTTTTCCTTCTCCTTTCAACCCCTCCTTCCCCCCTTTCACTTCAGCAAGGGGGAGTTTGAGCACATGATGGAGCGCAGGGCGTCCCACTTCTGCCTGGACGTCAAGTCTCGTTGACCCCAATCCCCACCTCCCTATTCTCCCCTCCCCCCCCTCCCCTCTCCCCCCCCCTTCCTCACCCCCTTTTCCCCCACACGCAGCAAGGTGAAGTTTGAGCACATGATGGAGCGCAGGGCTGCAGGGTGTTTTTGAGAATTCTCAGAAGCTGCTGGGTGTTTTTGAGAATTCTCAAAAACACTCGTGTTGCCACTGTCTTCTTCCCCGCCACTTCCCCTCATCTCCTCGCCTCACTTCCCCCCTCTCGCCCCCCACGCAGCAAGGTGGAGTTTGAGCACATGATGGAGCGCAGGGAAACACTCATGCTGCCACTCTCTCATTCCCCGCCACTTTCCCTCATCTCCTCGCCTCACTTCCCCCCTCTCGCCCCCCCACGCAGCAAGGTGGAGTTTGAGCACATGATGGAGCGCAGGGCGTCGGACTTCCGTCTGGACTTCAACCTGCGCAAGTACTGCGCTGAGGATATCAGCACGGTGAGTGGGTGGAAGCAGCAGTGTGAGTGAGTGGCTGGTAGCAGCACGGTGAGTGGCTGGTAGCAGCACGGTGAGTGGCTGGTAGCAGCACGGTGAGTGGCTGGTAGCAGCACAGTGACGGTAGTGTGAGTTGGGGCAGGATAGAAGCAAGCAAGGGCGTCTGACTTCCTCCTGGACTTCAACCTGCGCAAGTAATGCGCTGAGGATATCAGCACGGTGAATCTTGTCTAGAGTGTGGGCAGGACTAAGAGTGCGTGGGAGAAACCCAGTGAGTGGGTGGGACTTTGATTGTGGCAGTGTGGTGTGATACTAATGTGAAACGGGCAGGGTAGAAGCATGGGCGTCTGACTTCCGCCACCTATTCTAGCTGCCCCTCCCTCCACTCTCCTCTTCCCTTTCCCTGTAATGCACAACCCCCAGACGTGCTACCAAGACGCAGAAGATGTAGTGGACGTGGCCAACAGGGATGCCAAGGTGATCGAGTGCCTGCAGGACTACTGTCTGTGCTCATAGCCCCTTCCCGCCCATCACTCCCATCCACACCGCCGTTTCTCTACCCCACAGACGTGCTATCAAGACCCGGAGGATGTAGTCGATGTAGCAAACCGCGATGCCAAGGTGATCGAGTGCCTGCAGGGCTACTGCGGGGAGCTTACCCCCCTCCCCTCACTCCCCTCTTCCCCTTCCCCACGTTGCTCATCTCCCCAGACGTGCTACCAAGACGCAGAGGATGCTGTGGATGTGGCCAACAGGGACGTCAAGGTGATCGAGTGCCTGCAGGACTACCGGGGGGGGGGGTACAAGGACCCGCGATGCCCACACGACTACCGTACCCTCTTCTTACAGCCTTTTCCCTACCTTTCCCATTACCCTTTTCCTGGATTGCCAGACGTGCTACCAAGATGCAGAGGATGTGGTGGATGCAGCCAACAGGGATGCCAAGGTGATCGCGTGCCTGCAGGACTGTCCCTATCTCCACCCCCAACCGACTCCCAACCCCAACCCCACTCGCTCCTTCCCCCCTTCCCACACACTCCCAACCCCCAGACGTGCTACCAAGATGCAGAGGATGTGGTGGATGTAGGAAATCGCGATGTCAAGGTGATCGAGTGCCTGCAGGACTACCGGGGGGAGCTCACCTCACCCCCCTCTCCCCACTCCCCTCTTCCCCTTCCCCTTCCCCACGTTGCTCATCTCCCCAGACGTGCTACCAAGACGCAGAGGATGTGGTGGACGTGGCCAACAGAGACGCCAAGGTGATCGAGTGCCTGCAGGACTACCGGGGGGAGCTCAAGGACCCGCGGTGCCGGCAGCAGGTGCACCAGCTGACTAAGAGAGCATCAGAAGACATTCGCTTCAACAGGCCTCTTGCCCAGGCGTGCAAGGGTGAGTGTCTGTGCGCACCCATGCATCTGTATCTGTGTCACCTGTGTGTGGGGCGAGCTGCCATGAGCTCAAGGACCCGCGGTGCCGGCAGCAGGTGCACCAGCTCACTAAGAGGGCTTTGGAGGATATCCGGTTTAGCCGCCCTCTGGCCCAGGCATGCAAGGGTGAGTAGCTGAGTGCGTGCATGTGATGGCTTGTTGTACCTTTGCGCCTTTGCTCCATGGGGCGAGCTCAAGGACCCGCTGTGCCGGCAGCAGGTGCACCAGCTAACCAAGCGGGCTTCTGAGGATATCCGCTTCAAGAGGCCGCTGGCACAGGCGTGCAAGGGTGAGTGTGCATGCGCGCGAATCACATGCATCTCGGTGTGTGTCTCGTGGGATGGCGTGTGGGGCGAGCCATGAGCTCAAGGACCCGCGGTGCCGACAGCAGGTGCACCAGCTGACTAAGAGAGCATCAGAGGATATCCGGTTCAACCGGCCCCTCGCCCAGGCATGCAAGGGTGAGTGTCTGGGCGCGCACACAAGCATGCATGCGTGCATGCATCTCTATGTGTGTCCCATCCCATGGGCCGCGGGATCTGAGAGCTCAAGGACCTGCGATGTCGGCAGCACGTGCATCAACTCACCAAGAGGGCGTCGAAGGATATTCGTTTCAATTTCCCCCTGGCCCAGGCATGCAAGCGTGAGTGAAATCGTGAACATGTGACTGTGCACATGGGGGTGTGCACGTGTGGCCATGAGCTCAAGGACCCATGGTGCCGACAGCAGGTGCACCAGCTGACCAAGAGGGCATCGGAGGATATCTGGTTCAACCACCCCCTCACCCAGGCTTGTCAGTGTGAGTGGTTATGTGTACATGTGCAAGGGTGAATGTGCCTGTGCATGTGCATTTGCTTGTGGCAGTAAAAACTCATAACCCCCTTACTCCCCCTCCCGCTTGCTCATTTGCCCCCTCTGCAGACGACTCCGCCAAGCTGTGCAAGGACGTGCCGCCCGGCCATGCGCGCGTGCTGCTGTGCCTGCAGGAGCACCGGAAGGGCCTCACAGCCAACTGCAAGGAGGCGCTCTTCCAGGAGGTGAGGCTTGGAGCACTGGGAGGGTTCATTTGAAACAGGCAGGCAGGCAGAGCAGACAGACAGGCATGGAAATAGCAATGCAGGAGCACCGGAAGGGCCTCACAGCCAACTGCAAGGAGGCTCTCTTCCAGGAGGTGAGCCTCTTTTGGAAGGCAAGGCTAGGAGCATTGGGAAGTCTGATTGAGGCAGGCAGGCAGGAAGTGAGGCATTGAAGTAGGAACGCAGGAGCACCAGAAAGGTCTCAGAGCCAACTGCAAGGAGGCGCTCTTCCAGGAGGTGAGAGGTCAAGCAGTGACTAGCGTGCTGGCAGGTGTACGTACGGTCAGGTATGCGGGCGGTCAGGTATGGGGGCGGTCAGGTATGCGGGCGGTCAGGTATGCGGGCGGTCAGGTATGCAGTCAGCTTCACTCAAGTAGGAAGAGACCTAACAGCTTCAATCGGACCTGGGCACATCCGTATAAGCTAAGCCAATAAGTTCCCCCTTTGCAATGAAAACACAAGACACCAAATCCCAGTACCTCAGGTGACTTTTGAGTCGACTCAAAAGTCACCTTCAAAACACAAGACACCAAATCCCAGTACCTCACTTGCAGATTACGTGAGGACTCTACCCTGTTAGGTCTCTTCCTCACCAATACTGAGAGCGCTGAATTGACGCCTTTCTGTGATATCAATGCCTTCCTCCATCCTTCTCACCTCCCTCCCCTTCCATCATGCCCTGCAGGAGGTGCGGTTTGCAGAGGACATTGACTTCAAGTTCCCCCTCAGGCAGGCGTGCACCGACGAGATGAAGATTCTGTGCAAAGGTGAGGCTGCCTTGTAACGAGTATGCTGTGCGTACTGCCCCTTTTGCCCCTCCTGCTTCTCCTGCCCTCCTGTCCCTCCTGCCCCTCCTGTCTCTCCCGCCCCTCTTTGTCTATGTCTCTGTCTCTGTGCATGCGTGCGTGCGTGCATGCGTGTGTGCGTGCATGTGTGTGTGTGTGCAATGAACGTTGGCCTTACCTTCACAATGGCTCACATTTGTGTGTTGAACCTGCATTTTCCCCTTTATACATTTGTGTTCATGCCCGCAGACCAGCCGGACGTGGTCAAGTGTCTGCAAGACAAGGTGGAGGACGCGGCCATGTGATTCACTCTCACTGTCCTTCCCTCCCTCCCTGTCCCTTCCTCTCCGTGTGTCTGCACTAACCACCGCCCACAGACCAGCCGGACGTGATCAAGTGTCTGCAAGACAAGGTGGAGGACGCGGACATGGGCGTATTGTGCAAGGAGGAGGTGAAGAAGGATATGAAGCGCGCAGCAGAGGGTGAGTGGGCTCCAGGCGTTTCAATGGGGCTAGCGGGGTACAGCGGGAAGGGGAAGGCTCGACCCTAGCATGTTGGGGACGCAGACATGGGCGTATTGTGCAAGGAGGAGGCGAAGAAGGATATGAAGCGCGCAGCAGAGGGTGAGTGGGCTCTAGGCGTTTCAATGGGGCTAGCGGGGTACAGCGGGAAGGGGAAGGCTCGACCCTAGCATGTTGGGGAGGGACGCAGACATGGGCTTAATTTGCAGGGAGGAGGCGAAGAGTGATATGAAGCGCGCAGCAGAGAGTGAGTATGTGCGCTTTAGGCAGTTCAGTAGGGGCAGAGGGGTAGGAAGGAGCCGATCAGGGAGTGATTTATTGACGAGGAGTGTTTTGAGACGTCTCAAAACACTCCTTTTTTCACGTGGTTTCTTTAGGCAGTTCAGTAGGGGCAGAGGGGTAGGAAGGAGCCGATCAGGGAGTGATTTATTGACAAGGAGTGTTTTGAGACGTCTCAAAACACTCTTTTTTTCACGTGGTTTCTTTAGGCAGTTCAGTAGGGGCAGAGGGGTAGGAAGGAGCCGATCAGGGAGTGATTTATTGACGAGGAGTGTTTTGAGACGTCTCAAAACACTCTTTTTTTCACGTGGTTTCTTTAGGCAGTTCAGTAGGGGCAGAGGGGTAGGAAGGAGCCGATCAGGGAGTGATTTATTGACGAGGAGCGGCTGTGCTTGCACTCGTGCGATACTGCTCTGGAGTGCAGTGGAAACGAGACCGGGGTGACATACTCACCTACCCTCCTGCCCCTCCATCCCAACAGATTATCATCTCAACTTCCGGCTGAACAAGGAGTGCTTTGTCGACGTCGCGCGTCTGTGCCTTCGCTTGTGCGATGCTGGGCCTAGCCTTCTGCTCAGTGCTCACCCACCCATCTTCCCGGTTACCCACCCCCACACCCTCCCAACAGACTATCGTCTCAACTTCCGGCTGAACAAGGAGTGCTTCGTTGATGTCGAGCGTCTGTGCCTGCACTCGTGCGACGCTGCCTTGGAAACTGGCGGCACGGAGACCGGGGTGACGTGTGGGGGGGCGACCCTCAAGTGCCTGACAGAGAACGAGAGGAAACTGTCTTCTAAAACGTGCCGGCAGGAGCTGTTTTACTTCAAGAAAAGGATGGTCGCTGATATCTCGCTCGATATCCCCTTGCAGGTAAGAGGGGAGGGGGGAGAGGGAGAGTAACAATGGGCACAACAAGGGGTGCAGTGCGGTGGTATGGGGTTGCCGGCAGGAGCTGTTCTACTTCAAGAAGCGCATGGTTGCTGACAGCTTGCTCGATATCCCCCTGCAGGTAAGGACGAGGGTGAGGGAGGGGGGATGGGTGGGCGTGCCTCTGCATGTAAAGACAGAATGTGTTTTCTAAGGGAGGCTATCCCAGATGGCATGCAAGAGTGACCTGGAGAAGAAGTGCTGCGGCGAGAGGGACCACTCCAAGGCGGAAGGAGAGGGTGTTTGATGGCAACTCGCTGATGCACGACCTGCCTACTTCCGAGTTGACTTTTGAGTCGACTCAAAAGTCAACTCCCTTTTGAGTCGACTCAAAAGGGTGTTTGATGGCAACTCGCTGATGCACGACCTGCCTACTTCCCCTGTCGTATTCCTGTTCCTTCCCCTCTCTCAGATGGCGTGCAAGAATGATGTGGAGAAGAAGTGTGGCGGCGAGAGGGACCACTCCAAGGCGCTGGCGTGCCTGCGGGCCAAGAGGGACGAACTGACAGAGGAGTGCAAGGAGGAGGAGCTGCGGTTGAGTGAGATGGAGGTGGGTGGTGACGGGCAGGGGAGGTGGGAGAAGAATGGGCAGTGGGTGTGTGAGTGTAGTGGGGGAAAAGTTGAGTGGGTTGGGTACTGGATGGGTTATGGGGAAGAGGGACGAGCTGACAGAGGAGTGCAAGGAGGAGGAGCTGCGGTTGAGCGAGATGGAGGTGGGTGACGCAGGGAGGTGCGAGATAATAATGGGCTGTGGGCGTGTGAGGGTAGTGGGTGGTGGATAGGTTTGGTGTGTGCGGGGATGGTTGGGGCCAAGAGGGACGAGCTGACAGAGGAGTACAAGGAGGAGGAGCTGCGGTTGAGCGAAATAGAGGTGGGTGTGGGATGGTGATGCTGGGGAGGTGGGACAAGTGCAGGCAGTAGGTGTTGTGAGTAAACAAGAAGGTGGTCCCCCCACCTTCTTGCTTACTGCCCGCTCAAGCCTCAGACATCCGCCTCACCCCCACGCTCATGAATGCGTGTGGCTTGGAGCTCAACCATTTCTGCCTCCTCACCTATCCCAACCACCTCCCCCGTTTGGCACCCCTTTCTTGCTTACTGCCCTCACAGGCGTCTGACATGCGTCTGACCCCCACGCTCATGAACGCGTGTGGCCTGGAGCTCAACCACCTCTGCCTTCTTCTCACCTCCTTCTGTCCTGCTCACTGTTCCTTTTCCCCCCTTATCAGGCGTCTGACATCCGTCTCACCCCCACGCTCATGAACGCGTGTGGCCTGGAGCTCAACCATTTCTGCCGCGGCGTGCACCCCACGACTGGGCTGGCCTTCCGCTGCCTGCAGATGAGCATCAACGAGGTGAGAAAGAGAATGTTACAGTGTAATGTAACGGTGTTACAAGCAGAGAGGTGAGCTTGATGCAGTGCGGTTGGGGTGACAGTGGAACAAGCATGTACAGCCCACGGCTGGGCTGGCCTTCCGGTGCCTGCAGATGAGCATCGGCGAGGTGCGGGTGGTGGGGTGTTACAAATGGTTCTACAGGGTAAACGGGTATTGGAAAGGGTGTGGTTGGTGTCAAAACGTAAGCCCACGGCTGGGCTGGCCTTCCGGTGCCTGCAGATGAGCATCAACGAGGTGCGGGTGGTGGGTTGGTGTTCTTACAGGATAATGGGGTAGCAAGATATCCTTGTGCAGTGCGGTTGAAAGTGACGGTGTGGCCCTGGCAAACCCCCCGCCCCCCTTCTCTCCCATCCCCCCCCCACCAAGGCAGAAGTCGACCTCCAAACCTTCCGCCACGCCTCTTACTACAAGCTGGACTCGGGGCGCTGCCAGAGCAGTGCGAGGGGACTCCCCTTCCCCTTCTTCTTGTCAACCCCACTCTTCTCCTCTACCCCTCCCCACCACCTCACCAGGTGGGCATGTCAGTGGCGTGCAAGGCAGAGGTGGACCTCCAGACGTTCCGCCACGCGTCTTACTACAAGCTGGATTCCGCCCTGGCAGAGCAGTGCGAGGGGGATGTGGACTCCTTTTGCAAGGGCGTGGACGAGGGCAAGGAGGCGCACTCCCTCGTGCTGCAGTGCCTCGTGCAGCACCAGGAAAACCTCTCTGGAAAATGCCTGACTGAAACCGCCTACGCCGTGCGAATGGCTCTTTGGATGTATCATAAGGATGCGGATCTGGTCAAGCCGTGCAACCCTGTGGTGGAGGAGCTTTGCGGGAATCGGACGGGGGTGGTTGCGGGGGAGGGAGCGGGGAAGGCGGGGGCGGCGGCGGCGGTGGGGGTGGTGGGGCAGTGTTTGCTGGAGCAGCCGAAGGAGAAGCTTGGGGAGGAGTGTGGGCGGCTGGTGGGGCTGATTGGGCAGCCGGGCGGGCATGTGGGCGGGGTGATTGACACGAGCCAGCTGGAAGAGACTCTTGCACAACTCGCACAGGTACAGGTGGGTGCAAAGCGGTGGGGGGAAGGAGAGGTACAGGTTTGTGCAGAGCGGTGGGGTGGGGAATGGAGAGGCTGAGGTAGGTACAGTTGGGTGCCATCCTAGAGGAGGGAGAGATGTTTAGATTCATGAAAGAGTTCCATTTCTCTCCATTTTTTGTTTCTCTCCTAGGATTTTTTTTTTTTTTTTTTTTTTTTTCAAGAGAAAGCGCATCATGGATTACTATGCACTTCCACTCTCTTCCCCCTCTTCCCCTGCCCTTCCCAGTTGAAGCATGAGGTTGACGCAGAGACCGAGGGCGAGGGAGGGGGAGGAGGGAAGCTGGTGCTGACTGGCGCTACAGCCTTTGCGGCGGTTACCGCACTCACTGCGGTGCTGCTGGGTGCTGCTTACCTGGTGTATCGCAAGTGCTTCGACCCCACCAGGAACTACACTCTCATGGTCAAGGCTGGAGATGTTTGAAACGGTGATGCTTATAAGGAGGACGTTTTTGTATGGAGAGGTGACAGGTGGATCAAATCTTAGTCAAAACTTAGGAATGCGTATGCTGGGTTGGATTGACTGCTGCCAAAGCGTAGCAATTAGAGTTATGGCAGCACAAACGCCATGGAGAGTGATTCAAGTGGATAGAAGATGCAAAAGCTTTCGTATTGCCTCTTGCATATGCATGCGAAGTAGCATGAGCAGCCGTCTTGTCATGTAATTCCTCCATTGCAACACCCTGTAGATTTTTTAACCCATTTGACCTGGACCTGGATGTTTTAAAGAGGTAATATACTGGTAGCAATAATTTGTGTTGGCAGCTTGTGGCTAAGCTGAAAATGGCAAGGTTTCATCTGTAAGTGAGAATGTCTTGTACCTGAGTCAGAGATTGAGAAGGGGAAGCAAATTGAGAAAGGCAAGCATGCGGTATTTGACAAGCTTGCACTGGAGTGTGCCACTGAGCCCTGTGTGTGAGCCTCCATATTGGCACACACTGTTGTGTGTGAGCCTCCATATTGGCACACACTGTTGTGTGTGAGCCTCCATATTGGCACACACTGTTGTGTGTGATGTGAGCCTCCATATTGTCACACACTGTTGTGTGTGAGCCTCCATATTGGCACACACTGTTTTATGGTATGTGTGAGCCTCCAGATGGGCAATTTGGCACGCACTGCTGTGTGTGGGGCTCCATATAGGCACACACTGTTATGGCATGTGTGAGCCTCCAGATCGGCAATTTGGCACGCACTGCTGTGTGTGGGGATACAGATTGGCACGCACTGCTGTGTGTGGGCCTGCTGTGTGACAGACCTGACGTTATTTTCATTACTGTAGAAAGCTTTGCCCCCATTTTGGACCATCTCCCCACTCTCCCTTTTTCCTTCCGCCAGGGAAAGTCAAGGCCCTGAAACGGCTCTTTGAAACAGGGGAGTCACATCAGAGAGAATAATGTAGAGGAATCAAACCAGGGGAACCAAACAATGGAAAATACATCAGGGACTCTTGAGTCTGAGTCGTCATCCAAGTGCTTTCCCACCCCCTCAGTCAACCAGAAAAACCACTAGCTAGTGTCATTTCCCTTCATTACACTAGCTCTTTAAACTAGGTGAGTCAAACCAAGGGAAATGAATCGGGAGACAAAGCAGGGGGGGTAAACCAGGAGAGTCAAGCATTAGAAAGACCACGCAGGTATTTCTAACAAAAATGCGAAACGCGATCGGATGGCCATGTGGATAAAACGAGATGGGATGGCCTCTGGCCGGTGCTGTTCCGAGCAGGAAGAATGGAAGGGGAAAGCTCGCTCACTCACAGACGTCAGTCACACAAGCGTCGCTGACTAACGAGCATGGGTCGCTCCTCGAAGTGGCACGTAGAGCACACTACATGCCTCAGTATACAGTCATGCCGAGTAGAGATGATACTTCTAACAGCCGGTTGATCGTTACCACGTTTTGTAAGGCGATGGCCATTTCGCGAGGCTGATGAGGTTGAGGCGCCTCAGATGGCTATTCTACAAAACACGAGTAGAGCTGATACTTCTAACAGCCGGTTGATCGTGACCACGTTTTGCAAGGCGATGGCCATTTCGTAAGCCGTCTCAAAATCGAAAGCGGTGGAACGACCAGAATCGCATGGTTTGACATTTGCTCGATAGGTACGTTGCTGCGCCTGCTGGGAAGGCTTGACCACAATCCGTCGCAGATTTCGAGCATAATCGGTTCTTAGTCGTCGTATACCGATACTCTAGGTGCATAATTGCCCCTTAGAAGGGTCTCGCTTTAATCTCCTGCGCGGGCTACCGCCAGCAGTGTCACCCTTCACTGCTCAGAGTTGTTTGGCTAAGAAACGAGACGCGCACTGCAAATAACTGGAACTAGGAACTTCAGTAGAAACTCTGTCTAAGGCGGGTGGAGGGAGGGGCGCTTGCGTGGCAAGGTTGAGGCAGGGCCGAAAGGACGCTCGTAAAAATAAATGCTTCCGAATCTGCCACGTAGGCAGAAAGCTAGTTTTCATCCCACGAAGTGAACATTTACGGAAGCCGAGGCTGGAATAAAGTTCGCAAACTGCAATGAGAAGGTATCTTTGCGCTTGGGGCAATGACGCAGTTAATGAGGTTTATCCGAGACGCGTCTATTGCTGGTTGAAAACTATTTCCAAACCCCCTCAGCGGCCCGGGAGGGCCACTGAGAATTTCTGGAAAGGCTGATTTGCTCGGCCTACAAAAACAAACCGAAAATGGGATGGCGACTTGAAATAGTACCCCAATATGTGGGATATGTGTCAATTGCGGGAGCATCATGTTATTGAGCATGATCTAGCATTTTCCCAGGCATGGGATTTGTCTATCCCAAATTCGAGGGATACCCAATGACGCCCCTGTTTGTAGGGGTATTTGCAAACGCTATCAGCCTGGTGAGTCTGAGTTTCCCTCAGCACGTGAAGAGGGGGTCTTGCTGGCAGGTGAATCAGAAACAATATTCAGCTATACAGAAATCCACTCCAAAACAACCACCTATAGCTCCCGGTAGAGAAGACTTCTAGGTCGTTTCACACACAAGTCCTAACCTAGTGATCCTCGTCCCGATGTGCTGCTCTCAAGAATATCATCAGCTGCAGCACCACCATCATCTCCTGTCAATCCCACACCTTCCACCAACTCGTATCCAGACGAAAGACTTCTGCTCGACGGCGAAAACATCCCCTTGAGCGGAGAACACCCCCTGGATCCGAACCTAGGTGGGGAGGGCTGGCAGGAGCCAGGCCTTAGGGTCGGGGAGGCATGTCGGGAGGTTGGGCGAGAGGAGGGCCGGGAACAGGGTTGGCAGGAGGTTCGGGAGGAGGTTCGGGGCGAGGTCCGGGAGGAGGAATGGGTGGTTTCCTGTGATGGTTGAAGGATGCTGTCTGGTATGGCAGCTGCTGTGCTTGCCACTGCTGCCAATGCAGCTGAACCTGGTGGTATGGCTGGTGATGGTGGTGATGCTGCTGCTGTTGCTGTTGTTGATGCTGCTGCTGCTACTGCTGCTGCTAATTTTGCTCTTGCTGCTGCTGCTGTTGCTGCTGCTGCTGCATCTGTCATTGCGGGAGAAGCAGTAGCGGCAGCGGAATTTTCCAGACCAGTGGGGTGAGTGACAGGTGGTGCAGAAACAGCAGCAGGGGCAGAGGAGGGTGGGTGAGAGGAGAGTAGAGCAGGAGGGTGCGAGGCAGTAACTGGTCCTATATCGTGTTTTAACTCGGCGGAGGTAGAGCCAATAGGCACATCCGGAGAGGAAGAAGACTCCTCATCCTCTTTATTCCCATCATTCCCATTATTCTCACCATTCTCATCAATCGCATCGGTCTCGCCATTCGTTTCACCCCCACCACCTCCTCCCCCACCCTCCCCACTTTCTCCACCCTCCCCACCCTCCCCAAGTTCAATCCTCGCACCCTCCCCATCCCCCCCATCTTCCCCTCTCTCCCCGATCTCCACCCCCTCCTCCCCCTCCCCATGCAGGGCGTACTGGGCTAGCAGGGCGGCATACGCTGCTTCAAATGCTGATGAGGAACTGCCTATTTCGTCCCTCCCTATCGCATCACTGCGGATAGGCTCACTGCTAGCCATCCGACCACCAGCAGCACTACCACCAGCAGCACTACCAGCAGCAGCACCAGCAGCAGCACTACCAGCAGCAGTAGCAACAGCAGCAGCAGTAACAGTAGCAGCAGCACCAGCAGCAGCAGTGGTGCTAGCAGTGGTACCAATCGTGTCTGAGATGGTAACCGGTGTAACAGTAGCAGAGGCAGCGGCAGCGCCTGTGGCAGATGACGAGGAGAGTGAGGAGGAGCCTCCAGGGGGTTTGACTGGTTGGGGCGCTTCCGCTTGAAAGTCGATTTGGGAAGTCGGGATAGGGCCGCAGAGAATTTCCCGGAAGTTGCGCGGAATGCCGAGGTCGTAAGGGTTGTTCTTCCGCTTGTAGCGCATGCGGAAGTTCTCGTACGTGGTCTGGTGAGAGAGGGTGGACGGGGGGGGGGGGGGGGGGGGGGGGGGGGGGAAGGGGGTATGGCTGGTGGTTGGCGAGTTATACGGTCTGTCAAGTGTGATAAGTCTAGTTTTGAGTCGACTCAAAACTCGAGTAATGCGGTCTGTCAAACATCTTCCGCTTGTAACGCATGCGGAAGTTCTCGTACGTGGTCTGGTGGGAGGGAAGGGTGGAGGGGGGGGGGGGGGGGAGGGGGTGGAGGAAGGGACGGTGGGTGGGTGGTGATATAAGAAATCCTTCGTAACTCTTTCGCTTGTAGCGCATCCGGAAATTCTCGTACGTGGTCTGACGAGAGAGGGTGGACGGGGAGGGGGGTGAGGGGGCGGAGGGAAGGGAGGGGCGGAAGTTCTCGTACGTGGTCTGGTGGGAGGGAGGGGTGGAGAAAAGGATTGGAGGGAGCGAGTGGTTGGCATGCTATTCAATCTCTTCGAAAACTTCAGCTTGTTGACTTTTTAGTCGACTCAAAAGGTGGAGAAAAGGATTGGAGGGAGCGAGTGGTTGGCATGCTATTCAATCTCTTCGAAAACTTTTGCTTGTAGCGCATCCGGAAATTCTCGTACGTGGGCTGATGAGAGAGGGTGGAGGGGGAGGGGGGTGAGGGTATGGCGGGTGGTTGGCGAGTTATGCGGTCTGTCAAACATCTTCCGCTTGTAGCGCCGTTGGTGAGTTATGAGATGTCTCCGCTTGTAGCGCATGCGGAAGTTCTCGTACGTGGTCTGATGAGAGAGGGTGGACGGGGAGGGGGGTGAGGGGGCGGAGGGAAGGGAGGGGGTGGAAGGGGAGGGAAGGGAGGGGGTGGAGGGAAGGGATGGTGGGTGGGTGGTCATAAGCTTGTAGTGCATCCGGAAATTCTCGTATGTGGTCTTGCGAGTGGGGGTGGCGAGGGGGAGGGAGGGGATGGGAGGGAGGGTTTAAAACGAGCTGATGTTCGGGAGGGAGAGGGGTTGGTGGTGACTATTGAGACGTCTCAAGAGTCTTCAACTTGTAGTGCATCCGGAAATTCCCATGTGTGGTGTGGTGGGTGGGAGCACATGGAGGGAAGGAGGGGGTGAAGGTTGGGTGTTGAGGGCCATAAGAAGGTGTGCAACTGAGTCACTCAATACATACCTGGTTGGTGGCCGCGAGGAAGGTATGAAAGGCAGTAAGCCCTCCCACGAACCACACCACTATGAATGTGTACGCCATGAGAATTACTGCGACAGGTGCCTTCCCCATGCAGCAATCCCCACCTAATTGATTCTGAGTCGTCTCAAAGCGCAAATCTCACCTGATTGGTGGCCGTAAGAAACGTGTGAAAGGCCGTAAGCCCCCCCACGAACCACACCACTATGAATGTGTATGCCATCAAAATCACCGCCACAAGCGCCTTCCCCATGCAGCAATCCCACAGCGTTCTGGGCTGCCCTCCTCGCTCATACGCGACCATGCAATGCAACCCAGTCACTCAACGCATACCTGGTTGGTGGCCGTGAGGAATGTATGGAACGCAGTAAGCCCTCCCACGAACCACACCACTATGAATGTGTACACCATCAAAATCACCGCGACAGGCGCCTGCCCCATGGCCTCCCAGAGAGTCCTGGGCTGCCCCCCCGGCTCGTAAGTGTTATTCACGAGTAGCACGAGGAGGAGGGCACTGATGGCGAACACGAACAGGCAGAGGAGGGTTGTTGTGGCGGTGAACATGTAAAAAAACCGGTAGTTGCGCTGGCGGGGGGTGGAGGGACACGATGGGGAGGGATGGGGGGCAGGAAGAACAAGAGGTAGAGGAGGGTTGTTGTGGCGGTAAACATGTAAAAGAACCGGTAGTTGCGCTGGCGGGGGGAGGGGGGGGGGGGGGGGGGGGGGGGTGGGGTGGGAAGAGGGGGAAGGAGGGAGGGGAGAAGATGAACAGGCAGAGCAACGTTGTTGTGGCGGTGAACATGTAAAAGAACCGGTAGTTGCGCTGAAAGAGAAGAGGGTGGTGGGGCAAGAGAGGGGAGGGAGCAGGGAAAGAGGAGTGAGGGAGGGGGAGAACGGGGGAGTGTGAGAAGAGCGTGCATTCCCCCATGGCCTCCCACAGCGCTCTGGGCTGCCATCCTGGCCCGTAGTTGCGCTGGCAGGGCGGTGGGGGAGAGGGGGGTGGGAAGAGGGGAGATGGGGAAGGAGGGAGGGGGGAAGATGAACAGGCAGAGCAGCGTTTTGGTGGCGGTGAATGTGTAGAAGAAGCGGCAGTTGCGCTGGCGGGAGGGGAGGGAGGAGGGAAAGAAGAAACGAGGGAATAAGGTGAAACGGACTGTGAGGGCAGAGGGCCTCTTTCCCATGGCCTCCCACAGCGTCCTAGGCTGCCTGCCTGGCTCATAGGTGTTAATCACAAGTAGGGCGATGAGGAGCGCGCTCATAGCAAATACAAACACGCAGAGGAGCGTTGCTCTCGCGGTGAATGTGTAGAAAAACCGGCAGTTGCACTGGGGGGAGGAGAAAAGGAAGGGAGCAAGGAAAGAGGAGTGAGGGAAGGGAGAATGAAAGAATAAGAGAAAACGGCTGGTGAGGGAGCAGAGAGGGCCTTTTCTAGCTTTGAGTCGACTCGAAACTAGGGAAGGGAGAATGAAAGAACAAGAGAAAACGGCTGGTGAGGGAGCAGAGAGGGCCTTTTCTCCATCGCTTGGCTGGGGGGCTGCTCTCCCGGCTCGAGAAAACCACCTCAATGCACTTGGCTTGGGCCGCCCTGCCCTCCCGGCTTGTAGGTAGGAGCTATTCACGAGACACACAGTTGTTGTTGTACCACACAGTTAAGTGCCTCAACAGACATCGCAGCACCTTGCCTATGCTCTCCCTCTCCTCACCTTGCCTATGCTCTCCCTCTCCTCACCTTGCCTATGCTCTCCCTCTCCTCACCTTGCCTATGCTCTCCCTCTCCTCACCTTGCCTATGCTCTCCCTCTCCTCACCTTGCCTATGCTCTCCCTCTCCTCACCTTGCCTATGCTCTCCCTCTCCTCACCTTGCCTATGCTCTCCCTCTCCTCACCTTGCCTATGCTCTCCCTCTCCTCACCTTGCCTATGCTCTCCCTCTCCTCACCTTGCCTATGCTCTCCCTCTCCTCACCTTGCCTATGCTCTCCCTCTCCTCACCTTGCCTATGCTCTCCCTCTCCTCACCTTGCCTATGCTCTCCCTCTCCTCACCTTGCCTATGCTCTCCCTCTCCTCACCTTGCCTATGCATTGCCCCACCCACGGGCAGTGGTGGTCGAATCGTTCCACACAGTTGTTGCACACGCTGCAGTGCGAGCAGCGGGGGGGTCTGCAGGGAGGGGATAAGAGGGGACGGGAGAGAACAGGACTGGGGTCATATTGGGGACTGGAATCCTCCAACCCGAAGCAGCAACAACAGTGCTGGTGGTCGAATCGTTCCACACAGTTGTTGCACACACTGCAGTGCGAGCAGCGGGGGGGTCTGCAGGGAAGGGGGGGACGCGGGGAGGAAGCGGGGATGGGGAGGAGGGGGGAGAAGCAGACTGGAAGATATGACTTTAGAATCGTTCCACGCAGTTGTTGCACACACTGCAGTGCGAGCAGCGGGGGGGTCTGCAGGGAAGGGGGGGATTGAGAGGTGGGGGCTAAGAAAGGTCAGAGAAACGCAGCGAGAGGGAACACTGTATGCCACGCTCCACACAGTTGACTTTTGAGTCGACTCAAAACGAGGTGACTTTTGAGGTGACTTTTGAGTCGACTCAAAAGTCACCTCGCTCCACACCGTTGTTGCACACGCTGCAGTGCTAGCAGCGGGGGGGTCTGAGACATGGGGGGACGCGGGGAGGGAGCGGAGAGGAGGGGGGGGAAGGAGAAGCAGACTGGAGCTTATGACTTGAGAACCGCTCCGCACAGTTGTTGCACAAGCTGTAGTGCAAGCAGCAGGGGGGTCTGCAAGGACAGGAAAGGTGAGCATCACACCACCCAACTGCAAACCTTATCAAACCTTTCCACACCCACCCACACCCATCGCCCCACCCACCTGTACAGAAGGCACGTGTCGCAGTATTTAACTTTCACTCGAAACCCGTTAATCTCCACGTCTTTAGTTCTCGGCAGGCTAAACCTTCCCCCCGTGGCAAGCCCCGCCCCCTCCAGGCGCATAGCTTCTAGCATGTCCGGATCAGGGTCTGGGGGGACGAGGTTGCGAGGCACAATGCCTGGATCCCTGCACGCCGTGAATACCAGAATGAAGAGGTTCTGGAGGGAGGGTGAGGAGAGGAATGGCAGGGAGGAAGTGGACGGAGGGTCAGGTGGAACGAGGTTGCGAGGCACGATGCCTGGATCCCTGCACGCTGTGAACACCAGGATGAAGAGGTTCTGGGGAGGATGGGGGGGATGGGGGGGCGGGGGGTGGAAGGAAGGGAGGGGTGCATATCCGGATATCCGGATCAGGGTCTGGGGGGACGAGGTTGCGAGGCACGATGCCTGGATCCCTGCACGCTGTGAAGACCAGAATGAAGAGGTTCTGGAAGGAAAGGGAGAAGTGGGGGGGATGTGGAAAGGGTGCAGAGGGGTGCGAAAGGGTGCATGTCCGGTTCAGGAACTGATGGGGGGGAGGGGCGAAGACCCACCCACTCATGCGACTCAACCCACCCACCCATGCGACTCGACCCACCACTCATGCGACTCAACCCACCACTCATGCGACTCAACCCACCACTCATGCGACTCAACCCACCCCTCATGCGACTCAATCCACCACTCATGCGACAAAACGCACCCATGCAATGTAACAGATAGCAACTGGAAGCACGACGATGCCTCCAGGAATCTTTCCAGGAAGCTGCGCGGCCACGAAGACGCAGAAGAGTATCCCCGGTATAAGGATGAGCAGGAACGACAGCACCAGCGAGCGGAAATCGGGACCGAATATGAACTGACCGTAGCACAGAAACACCTGGAGAAGTGGGGGGAAAGGAGGGGAGCGGAGAATAGGGAGAGGGGAAACGGGGGGAGGGAGGGAGTGAGGGGTTGGAGGGGGGAGAAAGAGGGGACGGGGAAATAAGAAGGGGTTGGGGGGGTGGGGGAGGGGAAGTTGCGGAGGTGAAGCGGGGAGTTGGGCTCTTGAGGGAAGGTGGGAAGTTGACCATAGACGACGAGTGGAAGGACGAGGAAGAAGGTGACTATTGAGGCGACTCAGTAACATTCTTCTCGCGCTGAAATGCGATGGAATGCGACGGAGTGCGACGGAATGCGATGCGACGAGAAAACACCGAGTGCGGCAGAAAACACGAAGTACGCGTTATAAGGATCCTCACTATCAGCATATAATGAAATGCGACTCACGTTGTCGCCTTTCCAGGCCTGGTACACCTTCGCCATGCCTGTCCGTCAGATGTCTCTACTTTCTCTAGATCGTACGGCTACAGATTGACGACAAAACGTCGCAAGGATAGTTAACAACCCTTGGATCAACGTCATCCTTGCTTCAAATTACGCGGACTTGTCGATGGCTCATTGTCTTTCCGTTCGAAAAAAAATAACTTATAATACTTGAACACCAGTACCAGTCTAAGTCAGAAACGGATTAATTGTTCGACGACGATGCTGTGTTACCAAGCGAGCGACTTTCAGACGACTCCTGCGGCAAAGCAGTCGAGATCACAAACAACAAGCTGGGTCACCTGGTATCGCCAAGTGTTAGAGCCCAAGCGTTAGGGACCAAAGTGTTAGGGACCAAGTGTTAGGACCACTAGCAAAGGATCGCATTAGTAATAACCGTAGGACAATTATGACTACGCCAATCCCTGAGGACTGACCGTTTACTACTTCGGGGATGGTTCCTCAAGGTGACGTGGCACTGCTGTGGGGGTGCTGCGCTGTGTGAGTGAACCTACACGTCGCCCGCCGTCAAGATTCACGAGAGTGTAAGTGATCGTGCGGTCCGAATTGAGTCGCTAGTGCGGCTGGGGTTTTCGTGATCGACGGGTTACGGAGACTCGTGGAGGTGCGATGCACGAGCTGTTGTTTACCAGTACCCGTCATTGCTGAACTTTTTAAACGAACTCGTCACTACATAGTGTGCAGCATACATACATGGGGACCAGTCTGTTACCGAGTTTTATTTTATAATGTCAACAATAGTAGTGATAGAGATTGTGATGTTTAAATCTATTCATTTTTTTATGTTTCTTTCTAATTCGCCCACCCCTATGTCAAGAGAAAGATGATATGCTCTATCTTGCATATGTGAAATCAGCACTACAGTGTGCTGTTGATGTCTTGACAGAAGGAACGGGTACATGTTCCATTACTGCTGACCAGGGCTGTACTGTACACGTGACGCGACTGACTGTCGCACTCATGTTCAAGATGCCTCATAATTGCTGACGTGGGAATGTTGACGTGGTTTTTCTGTAGAAACAGCGCTTTTGCTTTCTGTTGGGTGACCAATATGTTTCCGTCTGCCCTCATCCCCCAAACTTCGCACAGACAAACGCTAACAGTGTGCAAGAAAGTCTGCAAGACACAAATGTAGTGAGAATTTTCCAGCGTTGGAAATCGTATGTCTTTATACAGTGCATTCCGATTATGGCTTGTGCTGTTGTAGTAGTACAGGGTGTGCTGAGGGGCAATCCTACATGATACGCCATCTCGTTCTCGACCCCCCATGGATGAAGGACCCAATCAGGTCAGGGCAGGCGGCCCTGCCCGAACAGTCCAAGAAGAAGGGAACATCCGTTACGTTTGGGCAAGTACACACACACACCCTCCTCAAAGTCGCACTTTGGGCAATATCACAAACTACATTCCGGAGAGTGTTTCGAGTATTGATCAACACTCTCCTCCGCAGGTTGAGGACGCGTTGAAAGTGCAAATATCGCGGGATCGCGAGCATAAATCGAGCCCCACAATTGAGTGGGCAGATCGATTGGCGAAACATGAAGACCGATACGTTGTAACGATCGCACCTGAGCTTTGTGGTGGATGTTCCAGGGCCGAGATTACTGCCCTGCATGCGACTCGCACCCAAAACACATACGTCGTCATACCCACCTGCGACACTCGCAGCCAACAAGGCAACCACCCTGGCGATGTGATGTTTACAGATTTCGCCAAATGTGGACAATTTGGGCGACAGCGATTCCTGGCTCTGCGAAATTTCGGAAAGTCGCAGGCATCAGAATCAATCGCGCCAGGTAGGCTCGGTTCGAGAGCATCAATGACGCTTTGATGCCTCTCACTGATCTCCCGCGATCAGGGATCAGTCGCATTCACACACTGCACAAATTGTTGGCCAAAAACCGTACTGTAGCAAGATTACATCACAGTAAATTGGGTTACAGATCTGCATATTGATCGCCACGCACGATCGGTCGTCTACTTTCAACGCGTCCTGAGCCATTGTATAGCTTCGTTTCTTCGGACCTGATCCTCAGCGATGCCTTACTGAACCACCCACAGCAGAAAGCCCAATAGTGGAGGATTTTTTAGAATCAAGGTCCTGAGGAAACAATATATGTGAACCCGTTCTGAGCTGGTGCGTGTTTTTTGCCCTAGAAAAGCTTCCCGTCTAACATACGACCTTGGTTTTCGCAGTGAAGCTTTTTGAAACAGGAAAACCTCTCTTGTCGCCAGACACTTTTCCCAACCAACCCATTCGCTCATCCCGCTTGTTGCTGCACTGGCCTCTGCAAGCAATCCTCGAATCCAATGCCCCGTACTACGTCCCACACGATTCGACTCTCTCCGAGAAAGCTCGCTTCGAAGGACAGAGCAGTGCAGAGCAGAGTAAACAAGAGTGTGGAGCATTGCAGTGCAGTGCGTTCAAAAGCGGTGCAGTACATTTCAGCGCACTCAATTAGTGAAACACACTCCAAGCACACCGCTGAAACTGGAGAGCATTTCAGCAGCTGTACCGACAGCCAATCTCGCGAGCAGGCAGCAAGCAAAGCAAGCACACCAGTTCAACCAATCAATTCTCCTTGTCACTGTATCATACCCAACCACCCAGCCCCCTCGTCAATCAGGTACACAAGCTAGGCAAATGTTCCAACTCGCCCCAACCCAACCCACCCGTTCCCCTCACCACCTTTGTCCTCCTTGGCTTAGGTTTTCTCATCCTTTCTTCCGTCCATTTCTTACCATGCAGCTACCTTCTCTCGTTGGATAAACTCTCGACTGCCGCAGCGCGGCTTGCTATAAGCCCGCTGAAATGTCCTCTCTTGAGCACTCGGCGCGCCACAATGCGACATAATTCGCGCGGTGACTCGTTGCATCGCTAAGTGAATGACTGTTGTTTGAGCGGGCTGTCGCCGCCTCGGCTTCCGTATCTCTAATCCCGTCTTCCGCGTGACTAATACCAAGCTCTCGCTCACGAATCCGCTCGCTAAGAATAGCCCCTATTTCCACTATAAGAATATCTCCAAGCTGAAACGCCGAAACTCCTCGCACCCGTTTTTACATCCGTACCCGTTGTAACCCTCCTCCTTACGGCGCATTGCTGCCATTATGGGCCAAGCGCTGTCCGCGCAGCCAATACACGAGGAGCCACAGCCGCAGCCTCAGCTTTGGCCCATCTGCCTCTCTCCTTCCGATCTTTTCTCCAACAACCCCCACCACTTCGGCCCCTACACGCCCGCCAATGGCGGCCTTATCCGCGCGCGCCAAATCATGGCGCAGCTTCCGCCGGGAGACGCGCTCCCGGGGCTCCTTTCCATTTTCCTCGACCGCCTTTCCTCCCCGTCTCTCTCCCCGTCCTCCGAGTTTTCCGCCTATTCCCCCCGCTTGGCGCAGGCTTCGGCGCCTGTTTCTTCCGCCTCCTCCTCTTCCTCCTCCGCGTCTTCCGCCTCTTCCTCCTTCTTCGTCTCCTCCCCATCCCCGCGCACGCGCGCGCTCCCCCCGCCGTACTTCCCCCTCGTGCAGCCGCAGCCGCTGACCCCGCGCTCGCGTTCGCTGCTTCTTCCCCTGGGCGGGGCGGATGACGTCATCCGTGCGGGGCTTCTGGACGTGCAGGCGCGCGCAGAAGCGGAGTATCAGCGCCTGGTGGAGCGGATAGAGGAGGCGGCGGAGCTCGGCGCGGAGTTCGGCGGGGGGGATGGCGCGGAGCTTGGCGAGAGAAGCGGGAGCGGAGGCGGAGGCGGAGGGGGAGCTCGCGGAGGTTACTGGGGCAGCGTGCGCAGTCCTGGCAGAGAAGGGATGTATAACAAGGGGGAGTATGCCGGCGGGGCTTTTGGCAATGCCGCAAGTGCGGATGGGCGCAACGCTACGAGGACGGAGAGCGGAGAGGCGGTGGAAAGCGGTGTTTATGTAAACGTGGAGCGAATGGAAGAGGCGCTGCTGGTGGGAATGGCGTTTTGGATGGAGTTTTGGGAGCAATGGGGGGAAGACCCGAGCGCGTCGCTAGAAGCGCCTAGGGCGCGGCGGAGATCCCTGGAATCTCCGCGCACGATGCTCTGGCGCGGCGGAGAGGCTGCGCCGATTAGGGGAAAATGGGGCGCGGGCGCGGGGGCCGGCGCTGCGCCAATGCCTGTGATGGCGCTGACTAGGTCCGCGCACGCGGGAGGCGGTCCCCCCAAGGAGCGGAAGCAAGTGAGCATTGTATTGACGGTAGGAGAGGGCGAAGGAGAATGCGAAGAGGGGAAAGAGAAGGGAGAGAGAAGAGGGCAGGGGAGGGGGGAAAAGGGAGAGAAGGAAAAAGAGGGGGGTCCTGGGGAGGTGGATGGGAGGATGGCTGAAAATGTGGAGGGGGAGGAAGGGAAGAGAGGGGAGGAGGACGAGGAGGAAGCGGAGCAGGAGGGTGGGAGTGTTATTGTGGCAGACCACATTGTTGAAGCACCTGAAGCACCTGAAGCACCTGAGGCACCTGAGGCACCTGAGGCACCTGAAGCACCTGAGGTTCCTAATGGCGTGGATCCTTCAGGTGCGATGCCAGCAGCAGCAGAAGCTCCAGCGTCCCCATCCCTTCCTCCGCCAGCCATCCCTGTGACAGCCGCAGTCCACCCTTCCCCAGTTCCCCCTTCCCCAGTCCCCCCTTCCCCAGTTCCACCGTCCCCAGTCCCACCCTCCCCAGTTCCCTTCTCCTCAGCGCCTCCCCCGGCCGCAGCTGGGGGGTGGTTCAGGGCGAGTCTGAGGGAGAGGGAGTATGAGCAGTGGCAGGATCTATGTCGGGCGGCAGGGCGGGCGTGGGAGGAGAGGGAGGAGGCCGTGCAAGCCAGGGGGTTTCTCAGCCATAAACGACGAGCATCTGGTGTCTCTGCTGTTTCAGGTGTTTCTGTGGCTTCAGGTGTTTCTGCTGCTGTTTCCTCTGGTTCAGGAGGTGGTTCTTCTGCTACCACTCCTGCTGCTGCCGGTGGCGCTGCTGCTGCTGCTGCTGCTGCTGCTGCTGCTGCTACTGCTGCTGCTGGCACCACCAATGCCACCACGAGCGTTTCAGTTCAGCCGCAGCGCCGGGCGTCTCTGCCTTCCCGCAGCTTGAAAGAAGGCAGGAGAAGAAGCGGCAAGGAAGCTTCTTCTGCTGCGCAAGGAGGGGAGGGCGGTGCAGGGGAGGCCGCTGCTACTGCTTCTGCTGCCGCTGGTGTTGCTGGTACTGGCAGGAACCGGAGTGCTGAGGCACCCAGCAGTGTGCCTTCAAGCTGGTTCCCTGTAGGCTTTGGTGCTGCTGACAGTTTCCTCACTGCTGCACCAGCACCAGCACCAGCAACCACACCAGCATTCGGCAGCATGACTGGCCTTAGTCTCACGTCTCCTCTGACCGGCATGGGCAGCAGCAGCTTCAACACCATGCCGTCTCCATCCTCGTCGCTCCGGCCCCCGCGCAACCGCTCCCGGTCAGCTGCTTCAACCGTGGACAGCAGCAGCACTAGTAGTCTGAGCGCGGTCAGTCTCCTGCCCACTGTTGACGTCACCAGCGTGGCGGGCAGCATGCTCCGGAGTTTTTCGGGCAGCTTGACGCTCTCGTCCCGCCCGAGCGAGGACGGGTCGGTTTCGGGCAGGAGCTTGCGGAGCAACGCGAGTGCTGTGGGGCATGGGAGGAGGAGGTGGAGATCCACCACTAGAAACGGGCTGCAGCAGAAATTAGTCCAAGATGTGCTTTTACTGGATGGGACTGAAACGGATGTGCCGCCGAGCTATGCTGACGTGGCGCGGATGCTGGGGCTTGCAGGGTCGTTGGCGGATCGCCAGCCTGTCAGCATGGCGCTGTGTATTCTGCGCGTGTTAGATATGGTCGGCCAGACTCGGCCTTTTATGCGAGTGGAGGAAGGGAGCGATGTGAGTGACTTGGAGAGAGAGGATTGCGAGGAGGGCGAGGAGGAGGAAGGGGAAGGAGAAGAGGAGGCGGAGGGAGCGGAGGGAGAAGGAAGAGCGGAGGAGGGAGGGAAAGATGGGGGGTTTAGGGAGGGAGGTGGGGTGGGGCAGGAAGGAGAGTGTGTGTTGCGTTCAGAGGAGGTTGGGGAGGGACGTCCCTATAACGAGTCCAATCACCAAGCTGAAAGCAATGACTGTGGCCAAGAAAAGGGAAGAGGGGAAGTAGGAGTGGAAGACGCTGGGGAACATGCGGGGAAAGAGGCATGGGCCGAACCAGAAACCCCTGCCACCGACCGCAGCAACAGCGTCAGGAACCGAAACAGGTTCGGCGACGACAGGCTCGGGGACGACAGGTTCGGCGCGGGGGGGAGGAGGGAGCTGGTGAATGTGGAGGAGGAGATGGAGAGGTACGCAGTGGACAAGGCGTGCAGGCACTTCATAGTCTCGTGCCTGCTGGATCTGCTTCAGCTGCACGCCCACCACGCCTGCCGCCCCCACCAGCAGCAGCCCTGCTTCAACCTCCCTGCCACTCCTGCCACGCCTGCGCCGACGGCAAAGGGCGCTTCTGAGCTGGTGGTATCCAATCAGGTGGTTCCTGAGCAGGTTGTACCTGAGCAGGTTGTATCTGAGCAGGTGGTATCTGAGGCAGGAGCGCCGTACCGCCTGGGAGAGCTAGCAGAGGTGCTACTAGTAGAATCCACAGTGGCGACCAACGGGATGAACCCCATCGAGTGCGCTCATCTGGACAGGCTGTATCTGACCCACGGTACCGTCCAGGGTGGGTTGCATTTAGGCCCGGGTATACTCGCCCTAGCTGTCGCTCTCGCCATGCAGTCCCTCCCGAGCCTGTGGCCTGATGACGTGGCGGAAGTTGCAGAGTTTTTAGAGGAGATGGGGTGTGAAGAGGCGGGGTATCGGGCGCGCGTGAGGGTGCTGGGCAGCGTGTATGCTACTGAAGCGGATTGTAAGGAGGTTATAAGGCGTACGGTGCGGCCGAGAGGGGTGGAGCCGGTGAGGCGGAGGATTCAGAGAGTGGTGGGGGTGGCGGAGACGGCGCTAACCCATGCGCCGACTGAGGCGTCGCGATCGGCGTATGTGAGGAGGTTCTGTGATGCTCTTATGGAGGAGCTGTTACAGGTGCTTCCCGAGGCTCTCCCGGAGGCTTGGCCCGAGCCTGCTCCCATGCCTCCCCCGAGGAGTTTGAGTGGAGGGAGGGTGGGGAATGGGGAGAGGGGCGGGACGGAGGTGTTTTCGTCTCCGCCTCTTTCCTGCCCTGCCGCCCTGCCGGCCTCGGTGTCTCTTCCTAATGGCCTCACTGCCGGTTCACCAGCAGCACCAGCAGTAGCTGCTGCTGCAGCAGTTGATGTGGTTGACTCCGAACAGAGCTCACACCCATGCCACACCACCACCACCAACACCACCACCACCAGCCACACACCCTTCACCACCTACCCAGACCCCTCAACAACACCTCCCGCAACCACTAGACCCCCCAAACCAGCCGCCCGGCTTCTGAACATCCTTCCCGTAATCCCGGACTCCGAAGCAGCTCCCATCATTCCGTGGGTGCGTGATCTAGCAGAGGCGTACCTGCGTCTGAGCCGGCACCTGTCTTTAGACTCAGAGGGCGTGCGGCAGCAGCACGAGCGGCACACGGACGTGTGCGCGTGTATCATCCTGAGGTGCCTCGTGGCGGAAGTGGCAAGGGAGAGGGAAGAGGCGCGGGTGGAGGCTGCTGCGGTGGCGGCTGCTGCGGCGGCTTCTTCGCCTGGGTCGCCTGATGCTGCTGGGATGCCTGAGGGGGCTGGTTCGACTGGTTCGGCTGCTGCAGTTAAAGCTACTGAGGGTGGTGGTGCTGCTGCTGCTACCAATCCGGCTGTTGGTCTGCCAGGAAATTCCGTGGAGGCCTTATTGGGAGGGAGGGGAAGCGAGGAAAGCAGCAGCACAGACGCACAGCAGGAGAGGAGGGAGAGGGAGGAGAGGGACGCGGCGATGGCGGCGCTGCTGGTGCATCTGGACAAGGCGCCGGGGGGCACGGGGTCGCTGGCATGGAAGGCCATTGGTCGCATGCTGGAGCGCAGGAACCCCACCCACCCCGTGCTGCCCGCCGTGTGGGTGCGGGCCGTGCTGAATACCCACCTGGTGAGTGAGAGATTTGGTGAGTGAGTGAGAGAGTGGGTGAGTGAGAGAGTGGGTGAGTGAGGAAGTGATTGGCGTGTGTGTGGGTGTTACGGTGCGTTTGGAGGGACAAGGCGCCGGGGGGCACGGGGTCGCTGGCATGGAAGGCCATTGGTCGCATGCTGGAGCGCAGGAACCCCACCCACCCCGTGCTGCCCGCCGTGTGGGTGCGGGCCGTGCTGAATACCCACCTGGTGAGTGAGAGATTTGGTGAGTGAGTGAGAGAGTGGGTGAGTGAGAGAGTGGGTGAGTGAGGAAGTGATTGGCGTGTGTGTGGGTGTTACGGTGCGTTTGGAGGGACAAGGCGCCGGGGGGCACGGGGTCGCTGGCATGGAAGGCCATTGGTCGCATGCTGGAGCGCAGGAACCCCACCCACCCCGTGCTGCCCGCCGTGTGGGTGCGGGCCGTGCTTAACACCCACCTGGTGAGTGCTGTGTGCGTGTGCTGTGTTGCCTGTTGTGGTGGTGAGTGCTGAAGCAGTGCAACCTGTCTCCACCTGTGCTGCTTGCCGTGTGGGTGCGGGCGGTTCTCAAAACACCCACCCATCTCCCCCACCCCCTCCCTCTCCCCTCCCTAACCCTCTCTTCTCCTTGTTGCCAACGCTACAGGCTGTGAACGAGGAGGGAACGGGCACAGACGTGGACGCTCTCGAGCTCTTTGATTGGTCGCTTGAGTCTCTTCTCGTCACTCTCCCAGGAGGCCCCGAAGCTGCTGCGTCCCTTCTAAAGGTCATAGACTCTGCCGCACAATGGGATTCCACTGCAAGATTGGAGAATTCTGCTGCACAGTTGGGGAGTCCTGCTGCACGATGGGAGAACTCCACTGTCGGTGGCTGTTCGGGTGCGGCGCGGCTGTCGGATGCGACACGTGTCGACGTGCTACTGGCCATTGCTGCGCGTGTGGCGTGCACTATTTATTGGCGGTGGCCCAGAAGGAGGGATGCACCGAGATTCGTGGCTCAAGTGCTGACGCTGGCGCACGGCACAGGTGAGACTGCTTGCGCTGCTGCTGGTGCACAGCGCAGGGTGCTGCGACGCTTTGTCCTATTGGTGTCTGGGGGGGCAAGTGGGTAAGGGCACGAGTGATACTTTTTTGAGACGTCTCAAAAAAAACTTGCGCTGCCGCTGGTGCACAGCACAGGGTGCTGCGACGCTTTGTCCTATTGGTGTCTGGGGGGCCAAGTGGGTAAGGGCACGAGTGAGACTCTTACGATAAGCGGTTAGAATGTGTGGAGGCCGGTTAGGGTGGGGGATGAGAACGAGTGGGGAATGGATTATGGAATAGGTTGGGGTATGGGAAAGGGTTACGGGTGGGAAAGTGCTCATGAGATCTATATGCCCCAATTTCCTCCCTAACACTCACGCCCGCACCAGTGGGCATGACCTCGGAGCAACTGCAGCGGGCTCTCAAGATCGGGGAGCGCCTGTGGGGATGGACCATGCCCAGCCCTGCGTCCCTGCAGCAGCGCTGTGAGGTGAGTCTATGCCGGTCAAATGTTGGGAATGCTAATCAATCCAGTCCGTGTCAGTTAAAGCCATTACGCCAGTGGGGATAGACCGTGCCCAGCCTGGCATCCCTGCAACAGCGGTGTGAGGTGAGTCGTTTAGAGGTCATCTACTGTTAATGTAAGTCAACACAGGTCAATGCAGTCCGTGGCAGTACAGCCATTACGCTTGTGGGGATGGACCATGCCCAGTCCAGCTTCCCTGCAGCAGCGCCGTGAGGTGAGTCAATGCGAGTCAACACAAGTCAATCCAGTCCGTGCCCCTAAAGCAGACAGTTTCTCACCTTGCTATGCTTCCCCTGCACCTCCATCAATCCTTGCATCCCATGTCACTGCACAGACGCCAGAGGAGGCGCTGGAGATAAGGGAGAGCTGCATTATATCAGTGTGATGCTCCTCTCATGCACAGAAGCAGACAGTGTCTCACCATACCCCTGCACCCTCATCACTCCTCGCATCCCCGTGTTCAATGCGCAGACGCCAGAGGAGGCGCGGGAGATAAGGGAGAGCTGCATTATATCAGCGTGGTATTCCACGTCGGCGTTCCGAGGGGAGGAGCCCATAGAGCTCATTGGCTCGCAATGGCCCTACAGGTAGATACGTTGGCGCCTCAAGGGATGGCTTTCGGGAGCTTCAAAGGGAGAGCTGCGTCATATCAGCATTGTATTCCACATCGGCGTTCCAAGGGGAAGAGCCCATAGAGCTCATTGGCTCGCAATGGCCCTACAGGTAGATTCCTTTGGCGCTGTTCCCCAAAGGACGGCTCTCAGGCAGTGAGCTGTATCATATCATATCTGCACAGGCGCCAGAAGGGTCGTGGGAGATCAGGGAGCGCTGTATCATATCATATCAAATCATATCTGCTCAGACGCCAGAGGAGGCGTGGGAGATCAGGGAGAGCTGTATCATATCAGCATGCTTCTGACACGGCATTTTGAGGAGAATCACCTATAGTGCTTATGGGTTCACACTGACCGTACAGAGAGCTATGTGGTTACCAGGTAAAAGCTGTCAGCAGTGGCTCACTCCAGGTGATCCCATATTCGAACGTGGTTTGATAGTGGTCCTACAGGTTGTTATGCACGATACCAAGTAACAGCTCGGTTACCAGGTAACAGCACAGTTACCAGGAAGCAGCAGGAAAGGCAGGGATGGAGCGAAGAAGGACAAGGGAATCTGTTCTGGGTCCGCAGGAGTTTTGAGGCGTCGCAGAGGTACAATATGGGGGTGCAGAAGCATTTGGTGATGAACAGAACTTCGAGCAGGAGTGTGGTGGATGGAAAAGACACAGTGGTGCAAGAGAAGGTGGATGGAAACCGTGAAGCGGACTTCATCCGAGGCTGAGGCGTCTCTACGTCGAGGCAGAGCCTTGAGGAGGGTTGACACGACACGACTAACCTGACCTGATCTTTGAAGCCGTGTACACGCTTGAGTTCCATTCCCAGCATTATGGCGATGATACGATGGTGTGGAAGTGCAGGAACTCAAAAGCGGAGGAAAGCAGAAGCAGAAAACCAACCTGACCTGATCTTTGAAGCCGTGTACAGGCTTGAGTTCCCGGCAATCTGGTGATGAAGCGGTGGTGTTCAAGCACAGGAATTCGATTTCGAAAGCGGAGAAAAATGGAAGCAGCGGCAACAACACTGCAGCAGTGGGACTTCTGCAAGAGCGAACCAAACATGCTGTGACGATTGGATTTCTGCAGGAGGCTTTCAGAGAAGCAGAATGAGTTGATGGGTGGCAGGAAAGGGGATGCGGACGGAACACAAGAGGAATGAGCCGTTTTGAGCAGCCACAAGAAACCAAGCAAGCATGTCTTGAGGGCTGGAGGCAAGCTGACAAGTTAGCAGGCACGATCGGTGCAGTGCCATGACTACACGTGCAGCTAAGCTGCTCGTGAAAAGGGTGTCAATAAATCTAATTGGCAGCGGGAGGGTGTGGGGGGAGTAAGGGACTGTGTGAGTCGTTTTTCTGTGCATTCTGCTATTTGATTTGCTTAACTTATTACGTATAAGCGTGTATGCCTTTTGTAAGCCTATAATTGCTTATGGAACTTGACATGTACCGTCGAGTACCAGCGGTTCAGCCGGGCTTGCAGATTCTGCTAATGAGGCCAGACATTCCTACTCATGTGCCCCCAATTGACTGTCATTAGCGTTCGACACCACCACCTCCTATATATCCTTCCTATCTTATCCTCCTACCTGTTTCGTACTAAAGTTCGAATCGTCGGATCGCGACGCCGCGTTTTTTCCGCGTCCATGCTTTCAAACATGCGACAACGCACTACTGGATAGGTTAGTGTGTTTTGCTGCGGGAGCAACCCACAGATTAACCGTCACAGCCCGCTGAATCAGTGGCTTGCGTTGCGCTACCTAACCCCACGCCGCAGTTGCTCAATTGCGGCCCATCACGCCCTAGCGCCTCGGGCTGTTTGGTGCAACTGTACGCGCTTTTTTCAGTCCCCGTGAAACGACGGACACGAGTGTCAAGGGCACCCCTCTCCGTGGCTCCATCGACATTAGCCCGCCCTTTTCCCTTCCTACGTACCTCGTTTTTCGACTCTCACTCCTCAGGGTCGGTCCACGATTTGCTTTACGCCACGTCCGCCCTGCTGGGCCAACGCCACGGGCCCCGGGGGCACGTAGGGATCGTTGGTGAGGCTGTTGCGAAGATGAGGTCAATGCCGTCTGTAGGCATGCAACAACAACAGCAGCAACAGCAGCAACATCAACAACATCAGCAGCAGCAGCCATTGCAGCAGCCACCATTGCAAGAGCAAGCAGGAAAAGCAAGGCAAACAGGGTTGAGGGCTACCCGGGTGCTCGGAGCTGCTCCTGCATTGATGAAGAAAAAGCCCTCCCCAGGAGTCTCATCCTCGTTAAAGGGCATGGCGTTAGCAGTTAGGCAACTCGCTGCGGTGTACGAACAAGTGGAGCGCGCCAAGCTGGAGCGGCTGCTGGAAACGGAGAGAATGCGGATGGAGCTGAGCAAAGACATGGAAGCGCAGATGATGCAGATGCAAGTCGACATGGCGCGAGCAAGCGGTGCTCCTAGGTACAGTTTTGATGCTGGTGGTGGTGGTGCTGCTGCTGCTGCTGCTGCTGCTCCTGTTGGTGCTGGTGGCGCTGGCGGTGCTTGTGGTGGTCTTACGGATGGGCTGGTGGGTAGCATCCATGAGGATTGCGTTGGTGGTGGTAACCAGAAAGACAGTCTTGATGGTGGGAATCAAGAGCCAGTGAGCAGCAGCAGGCTAGATGATACTGCTGGACGTGCAGCTGGTTTTGATGGCAATGGTGCCAATGGTGGTCAGGGCCTAAGTGGTTCAGGGAAAGAGGAGACATTCAACTTCTCGACGCCTGCAGGGAACATGTTGAATCCGTCAACCATTGAGAGTCTACAGACAACAGCAACGCCCAATCCATTGTTTAGTCTGTTCCGCACTCCTCCTCGCCTCCGCATCGCTGAGTGCATGAGTGCCCGCTTGGAGCTTCTCATTGACCCGTTGGGTAGCTTTGACTTATTGTCGCCTTCACTCATGTAGGCTAGGCTCTTGAGCTTGAGCGTGGATATTAGAATACTGGAGGCTATCAGGCCATTATCATGGTTAAATTGCTTCTTATTTCTCTTGCACATCGCACATTGCCAGCTTGAACCTGCAATGCAGATAGTATTATCGTACAACCTCCTCCAATCCACAGATAGTTGACAGATGTTATAGTATGGCATGGAGCTTCAGCTATACCATGTAGTACCAGCTTGATCTGCACATGACACCACAGCACTTGCATCACTGACATTTTAGTCTCTGGATTGGATGACTTGGTGGTGACACTTTATGGGTGTTCCCATCATCCTGCAATACCAGGAACCATATTCAGTAATAGAACAGTGGATCCAACATGAGCTGACCACCGGAGGCTATTGTTGTTTTGAGTTACGTTGAAGCCCAAGCTTCAGAATCTGGTTGCCCCATCATAGTAAGAAACGTGCCAACCAGATCTGCAGGGAGCACCCTTCTCATCATACACTCCACAGCATGTCCATCTTCTCTTCCAGTTTTTGTGTCCTGTATTCGGTCGGTCCGCCTTGTCGTTCCACACGTAGACTATAACTCCGCTCTTTTCTGACCAGTCACCGTCGACTCCTTGATGAGGAGGTGCATATGCGAACAATCCCTTGTCTCCTGCTCATTAAAGAGCTGGTTAGAGAGCGGAGCAGCGATGCAGGGAAGGTGGGAAGGGAATGAACAGCAGATCGAAGAGGATGCCTGGAACAGCAGAAACTTAATGCAAAAGAGGTATCTAACCTGTCATGTGGCCATGATAATTGCAAGGTACAGGAGAGTTGTCATCCGGATTGTAAGGATTTCCGCAACGCAAGCACGTCTGGAGGTTCTCTGCTCGAGCGGATGCAGAAGCCCCCACATTGGTTCGAACGGAGTTGGTAGCTGACGACGCGGAGCAGACGCTAAGAAACCTCACTTGATGGCGAAGCCTATGCTGTGCTAGGGAGCCAGTCTGAATGGTTCTGTTCATGGCCAGGGACGCCATGGTTTTGGGTCAACCTCGAAATTCTCTTCCCAAGCCAAATTCCTAAAGCTCAAGTTGAGGTCGAAATGAACGCAAGAGATCAGGGTATGAGAGAGCAGAAAAAAACTTTATTGATGTCAACTCAGAATATCGGGTGAACGCTGTATCGAGATTGCTTCCTGCTGTTTCCTTGATTGGTTCCCTGGTGCCACGTTGATTTGCACACACGTGAGTTCCGAAGCTACCATCGAGGATGAAAAATGAAGCGTGTGTGGGACCACATTTTTCCAGCCTGGCACCATGAATTATGCTGATGAGGCGGATTGCGAATTTGCTAATTGGTGCATTCCGTTTCTTTCAGCCGACCGATTTGAGGCAAGGGTTTTCTCAAGTGTTATCGAACGGCCCTCGATCAATCCCAATGTCTCGAACCTGTGTCCTGACCCCTGATCTGTCTGAACAATGAACTCCTCCAGCACGGGTTTTGAATCCTGATATGGTCCATTCACAAATCTGACGTGCTGAACACACTGGAATTCAGTCGTAGAATCTATTTTCTGAAGTCGGGTCGCAGTGTAACTTGATTGGGGTCTCTGTCTAGTCGTTCCTGATCATATTTCCGGGTGCTTGCTAACTTGGTCGAATCCCAGACCAGCGTTCCATCATGGCTGCCCTCGAAGATTACTGCGACAGGGACCTCATGTCCGAGCTGTTGAGGCGAATGAAATGCGCTCCTAAGCCAGAGAAGAGAGTTATTCTGATCGGTAAGTTTTTCTCATGTGTCTCCCCCATTTGATCCCTCGCAATCACCCTGTCCATTCCGTCCTCTTCAGCATATCGTTTCGACAGTGGGTTGTGCTTTCTGATTCTCTTATGTTCCTGTTTCCAGGTCCTCCCGGTTGCGGTAAGGGTACACAGTCTCCCATCATCAAGGAGGAGAACTGCCTGTGCCATCTAGCCACCGGCGATATGCTCAGAGCAGCCGTCGCTCAAAAAACGCCGCTGGGCATCAAGGCAAAAGAGACCATGGAGAAGGTATGTCGCATGAATGCTCGCGTCGCTATGCACCCGGCCGTGGTAGCTGTGGTTGCCTGTCGTATTTTATCCCCGCTTCAAGCATTTCACTCTTAACATTCGCGATTCATTTTGTCCATGTTCAATCTACCAACTGTGTCCAACCAGGGTGAGCTCGTGTCTGACGAACTGGTGGTGGGCATTATCGAGGAAGCTATCAAGCGGCCGTCCTGCAGCAAGGGTTTCATCCTTGACGGCTTCCCTCGCACGGTCGTTCAGGCAGAGAAGGTAAGCGAATGCGACTATCTCTCATCTGTGTCACGTCGCCATTGGGATCGGTTTGCATGGACCATGTTTCCAATAGAGCATAAGATTCATGAGGTGTTGGGGAGAAAATATCAGGATGTGAACAATGTGCCCCAACGTCTAGGTTCCTGGTTCTACCCTCAAGGGGGAAAGTCGCCGGCATGTGGATTATTATTCCAGGCGTCGTTGTTGTGTCCCATACTGTTTTTAACAGCTTGACGCGATGCTGGAGAAGAAGGGTCAGAAGATCGATAAGGTTCTCAACTTCGATGTTCCTGACGCCGTCTTGGAGGAGAGGATCACCGGCCGGTGGATCCACCCTGCCAGCGGACGTTCCTACCACACCAAGTTTGCTCCTCCGAAGGTTCCTGGAAAGGATGATGTGAGTGGTTCTTTTGACGAAACGGGAGGGTTGAATGAGGAATATTTGACTACAAGAATAGAAAAACGATGTGGGGTGCTTGGGACGTTTCGTTCGCTCTCTCAATCCCTTTGCTCTCTCTCCATCCCTCCCTCTCTCCCTCCCTCTCTCTCTCTCTCTCTCTCTCTCTCTCTCTCTCTCTCTCTCTCTCTCTCTCTCTCTCTCTCTTCTGACGCACTTACACACTCAGTCACACCCACGTACACACACTCACACTCACCTACAGTCGCTTTCATTCGCTTTCACTCTGACACATTCTCAAGCCAAGGGGTCGCCTTTCTTTAATGTCATCATTTCCGTTTCCCCGTTTGACTGTTTACTGCCAGGTCACTGGCGAGCCCCTGATGCAACGGAAAGATGACAATGCGGAGACTCTTCGCAGCCGACTGGCGGCATTCCACAAGCAGACCTCACCAGTAAGTAAACTGGCACCCTTATCTACTCCGTCTATCTCCACATTTTTTAGATCCTTCGCATGCCTTCTGGCCTATATTGTTCGGCTAATTCTCGGCACTAATTTTCATATTTTATGTTTGTTGGCATTTGCAGGTCATTGACTACTACGCTGTTAAGGGCAAGGTTGCCAACTTGCATGCAGATAGGAAGCAGGAAGAAGTTACTGCTGAGGTTCGCGCTGCCATGAAATGAAGCTTTGTAACAATACCTGCTGGGTTTTTGATACTGTAGGTGAATAGGGCAGTCATGATACTCTCAAACCACCAAGAATTCTTTACGCTCTGCTCAAAATTGCGTGGGGCAGTTTCAGATTACACCCCAAATGTGGAACCACTCCTTCCCGCACTGAAGTGAGCTGATGAGGGTGGCTTTTGGATGTGAATGCTAAAGCCATAGCACAATCTATCAAGGCTACCTTCCCTCTCTTTCCTAGGTAACATGTGATTGGGGATGATTTCCATGTCAATGCGTAATCAGGGAAATATATTAATGCTGTGGCAACCATGCACATAGTCATGGATGATTGTACGATCAGTCACACGCAGAAACAGGTGCACAAACACGCAGAATAAGTTGTTCGCGACCTTATACAGTTGCTTTGATCCTCCCACTGTTCTCCCGCCCAGCCACCTATAAAAACCAACACAAAACGAATGCAATTCGAGCCTCGCCACATGTCATCAGCGTAAATTCTCCCACAATCCTGCTAGATCCTCTTCCCCATGCCTTGCGGTAAGAACGCTCGAGCAAGGGGTCACTGATATCTTGCTGGTTTACGCTTCGTGCCATCTCGTCTGGGCCATGCATGTAGGGGGGATGTCGCATAAATCGTCCGCAATCTCTGCAGCCTCTCGACATCACCCGTGATTCGGGGGTAGCAAAAGTGGCGAAGATGGTTTGGTTCGGTAATAGACGATTTAGGCAAACGTGATAATGCGGTACGTCGCGGCAATATTATCGATCTGCGGATTCCTAGGATCCTAGAAACCGACGACATTGGATGTGTTTCTCGTTCTTCTGTCAGTGAGCGACGACGTTTTCGCCTGTGACGAGCATGATGCAGGTAACCGTCGTTGAGCATGACACTGAGCATGGCAATGAGCACGGGATTGAGCATGACATCGATCATGACATCGATCATGGCAAGCTCGACATTGGCCATGGCATTCAGCTTGACATTGAGCATGACGTCAAGGTATGCAGCAGTTCACGCAGTTAAAAGGGCGCTTGGCTCCTAACATGCTCGTGAGCATGCAGACTCCAAAAAAAGGCCCAAACTTTCATCACGTTCCTAATTTTCATCAGTTTTCCACTTCCATCACATGATCCACATCCATTTACTTCTTAGTGGTGCTTCGCTTCTCCAATTCCAGCTGAATTCTTCTCACGGATGCCTTCTCTCGTATGGCGTCGTTTTCCAATTAAAAAAAAAAAATAAAAAATTAAAAAAAAAAAAAAAAAAAAAAAAAAAGGCTGTCTCTGTCGGATCTCTAGAGAGAGGCACTCGGCCTCCTGTCCGACATCTCTCCAGCTTATCTCTCTGAAAATACAAGCATGGGGCTGCCTGGGAGGAGCGGGCATGGGCACAAGCAGGAGGGGAAGAGCAGCAGTGAAAGAAAGGAGAAGGAAGAGTGGGGAGGAGATCAGAGGAAGAGGGGGAAGCGGGCGAAAGGGGAGGCGGGTGAAAGGGAGGAGGGGAGGGAAGAGGGACGAAGAGGAAGCAAGAAGAGGGGATTAGCTCAGATCACAGCTCTTCGATTTACTCCCATCTTTCAAGCATCCGTCCCTCAGAATCAAGTAAATCTTTAGTATCGCATTGCACCCCTTGCATCTGAAAGCTTAATAACATCTGTATTCATTTAGGTCATTGAACAACCTATTTCCATCCCACCAGCTATTCAGCCGAACAATGCCAGCCGAACACTTAGCTAGCTGCTCTCTCCCTCCTACCCAGCAGCTCGATTATTCACACTGAGCAGCTAAGCTTCTGCTTACTGCTGCTTGATTATTCACTTCCCAGCCATCCTCCCATCCGCTACTGGAATAGGGCGACAGTGACAGCGCCTGCTTGATGCTGTACCCACCCTTACATCCCTTCCCTTACATCCCTTCCCTTCCATCCTCCCCTTACTCTCTCACTCCTGAAACAGCGCCTGGGCTTTCATGATTTCGACTCGAGCCAGCCCAATCATCCCCCCTGCAGCTTGCTCCTGCACCCACCCGCCCTGCAGCTCTCTCCCCACCTCCTCCAAAGTCGCAACACTATTATCCAGCTGCTCCCGCACCAACTCCCGCCTCCCCTCATTAATCAGCACCTCTGCATCACCCAGTGCTTTCACCACATCCCTGAGGTCCTCCTTCTGAGAGTCGTTACCAGGGGGAAGGATGCCATGTGCCTTGCGCACCAGAACTGCCGCGCCTTTCAGGAGGATGATGATGAGATGGTCCTTCTTGGACGGCTTGCGGGGTGGGGGAGGAGGAGGAGGAGAGGGAGAGGGCGGAGGAGGGGATTTCTTCTCAGGCGGGGGTGGCAACTTTTTCTCGGGCGGAGGGGGCGATTTGTGCTTGGGTGGAGGAGGAGACTTGTGTTCGGGCGGCGGGGGCGACTTTTTCTCAGGGGGAGGAAGGGACTTGTGCTTGGGGGGAGGGGGTGACTTGTGTTCGGGCGGAGGAGGGGACTTTTTCTCGGGCGGAGGAGGAGAATTGTGTTTGGGTGGCGGGGGAGACTTGTGTTCGGGCGGCGGCGGCGACTTCTTTTCGGGGGGAGGGGGTGACTTGTGCTTGGGGGGAGGGGGCGACTTCTTTTCAGGCGGAGGGGGGGACTTGTGCTCGGGCGGAGGGGGGGACTTCTTCTCGGGCGGCGGGGGCGACTTGTGCTTGGGCGGCGGGGGCGACTTGTGCTTGGGCGGCGGGGGCGACTTGTGCTTGGGCGGCGGGGGCGACTTGTGCTTGGGCGGCGGGGGCGACTTGTGCTCGGGCGGCGGGGGCGACTTGTGTTCGGGAGGAGGGGGCGACTTTTTCTCAGGAGGAGGGGGGGACTTCTTGGGAGGGGGAGGGGACTTCTTGGGTGGAGGGGGAGAGGGAGGAGGAGGGGAAGGGGACGGAGGAGGAGGGGAGGGCGGAGGCGACTTATGGAACTTATTGAATTTGTCCTTTAACTTGTCCTTCAAGGGGAAGGGCAGCTGGGGCAGGCGAGGCAGTGGGATGTTGAAGTTGAGAACGTTGAGATAGGACTGTGCAGGGAACACGTTGAAGGGGCCACCAGCACCACCACCGTCACTGTGTGGGATGCAAGGGCGATGAGCGGAGCGAGGAGAAGGTAGGGATCAGGATGTTATTTTTTTTTGTGGGGATAGAAGAGCAGGGTGTGTGGATGTCGTTTTGAAAAAGAGTGCAACAACAGCTACAACTGTGTCAATTGCATTAGTATGAAGTAGTCTGGTGGTGGTAATGCAGCACGATGGTGATGCTGAAATGAGGATGAATCTGGGGTGGGGTGTCTTGTGAAGGTGTGGCCTCACCTCAACTCCCGGGAAGTCCGCCTTGCATCCTTCCTACCGGGCCACGACGGCACATCACCTGCAGATACAGTGAAGGTTCATGGCGTGATCGGCGTGCAAGCAGGGTCAGTGCGTGTCCACCAACAAAAGTAAGATGCGTTATGAGTATGGATCAACAGTATAAATTCCCTCAGCCTTGAGGAATTATTTACGGGCAAGAAACGACAGCTTGCTATTGAGGTGCTGTAAGTGAGTGAAAAGGAGAAAGCCTTGTAAATTGAAATGTTGTTTGCATGCAAAGACTATCTCGGAGTGGTTCCGATAAACTTACCTGCCACGCAAGCACTCAAACATCCAGTTGCAATGATCCACAAGAGGACCACCCTCTTCAGATTCACGCTGCACGCCGCCATGCTCCCGCTCGTTGCCAGCCAGCAGCCCCTGCCAACTTTGGCGCCAAAGCTGTGGCACCTAAGTCGACTTCTCCGCAGGCAGGCGGACTGAAGCCTGCGGAAGACACCCGCGACCGACTGGGAGAACGCTAGAAACGAACCGAAACAGAGGCAGGAAGGAGGATGCGTTTTCAACCTCCAGGAGATGGTTTGTGCTGAGCTGACCTGACTTCGGATGATTTGGGTAGTGCGAATGAGTTCCATTTGTAGTGATACTGCTGTTGCTGCTGCTGGGGCTGTTGGGTTGGCTTGGGTGTGTGAAATTCGAAATCAGGGATTTGAGAAATGCGGTTCGGGAATGCTGTCGCCGGTTGCCTTGGGAGGACCCGCGTCGCGCTGTCGTAGTCAATCTGGTCGTCGGGTCCGTCGGGTTTGGTGAGGGTGGTTGACATGGCGACGGAAGAGACGTCGATTCTGCCCTTTGTCAATCGTTGCGATTCGCTTGGGCGAGTGACTTGACTTACGGCTCAAAAGTCAGCGATGTCACTGCCTAGAAACGATAAGTGTTATCCCACATATTATATGGATTTAACAGCAGACATGCTTGAAACAGCTTTTATTGCTTCCGACACGATATACAAATGGTAGAAAGGCCTCGGTCACATGCACGAAACTTTCACACATAAACTGATGGCATGCACCAGCTATGACGCTCAATTTGATTAAACATGGTTGTGACCTAGCAAGGGATCAGGAGAATGAGCAGAGTCGGGAGTTGAAAGAGAATTTTGTAGAGCTGGTGGAGAGGACGCAAGGGAGAGGGAAAGATTCGAGTACACTGGCACAGGATCAGCTGCGACCGGAGTGAATGGTGCTGGGGAGGGGTGTAATTCGGGCAGGCTATGGGTTGCTCCTGCCGGAGAGGGGTATGATACAGGTTGCACCTCCTCACTCTGTGGATGCAAGCTAACCTCGAGAACACTCATCTCCATATTTGGTCCATCCCTCCTGCGCTGCCTCCTGTGCCCGTGCCTTCTTCTCCCCCTCTCCAGCCCCCTCCCCTCCTCACGCCCTCTCCCTCCCTCCCCCCCTCCCCCCCACCCGCTCCACCACAGGCCCAACATGTGTTGCTGCCTTCCTTGCTGTGGTCTCCCGTGCTCCCTCTGCTGCCCCTGTTCCCTTCGACTCTCTTCCCTTCCCACACCCACTGCTGCCACTCCACCTGCCTCCTCCTCGCCCCCACGCCCCCTCTCATTCCTCTCTCGCACCCCCTCTCTCTCCTCCTCCGTTCTCCTTGCTCTATACCGCACTACAATCTCTTGGTACCACGGGTCACCACTCACTCTGAACCGCGATACAGGGGTGTGCCTGAGCATGTCTGAAAAACTTCCAGGAAACATTCGCAACCGCTGGAATTTTTTGGGAGAAGCCATTGGTTGGAAAAAGAGAGGAGGCACATGGAGGGAGGAGGGGTTGGTGGAGGGTGAAGTGAGAGAGGGAGGGTTGGTGGAAGGTGGGGTGAGAGAGGGAGGGTTGGTGGAGGGTGAAGTGAGAGAGGGAGGGTTGGTGGAAGGTGGGGTGAGAGAGGGAGGGTTGGTGGAGGGTGAGTAAGAAACGTCTGCTAAAAACATTAGGAGAAATATTAGGCGATTCGTGAAAAGCAATTGCACTGGCTTGGAAAGGAAGCCGTGGGTTTATCAAGGCTGGGCAGGCATGAACTGATGAGAGGGGGTTGCGATTTGAGAATTCTCAAGAGTAACCCTAGCATGCCCATGCTTTTGCGGCGAATTGTTTTGTGAGTGACATGCTTACGTAAGGCCATGTGTCGGTGCGAGGAGGAGGAGCGGATCGGCCTACAAGCCTTGCAAGCAAGCGACGCTCAGCAAGCTCCATCTAACAGGGAGGTTGGAAAGGGAAGGGGGGGGGGGGGGGAGAAAGGCGGGAGGAAAGGAACAGTGGAAGAGAGGGTTGGATGGGGAAACAAGCATGCAGGTGAGCAAGGTCAATCGGCCTACAAGCCTTGCAAGCGAGCGTCGCTCATCAAGCTCCATCTAACAGGGAGGTTGGCAATGAGAGGAAAGGGGGATGGAAAGGGATGGCGGGCAAGGAGAATGGTGGTGAATGGTGAAAGGAAGTAGAAAAAAGCTAATGAGCTTATTGAGCTCAAGGTGTGTTCACTGGTAGGAAGTGGAAGTAGCAGGATGGGAAGGAGGTGCATGGATGTGCATTGGAACAAATCTATATTGAGTATAAAGTGTACTTACGGATAGCATATGGAATCTGACGTGGATGGCGAGAAGGATGAGAAGGATGGAGAAGAGGAGGAAAGGACGAATGGAAACGAGGGGAATGCAATCTATATTGAGTACGAAGTGTACTTACAGATAGCATATGGAATCTGATGTGGATGGCGAGTAGGATGAGCAGGATGCAGAAGAGGAGGAAAGGACGAATGGAATCAAGGACTGATATGATTGTTACTGTAGTCTGGATAAAGATGTACAGGGACATCATGCTCTGTAGTGAGGAAGTCAACAACAGGGATGAAAAAGGCAGTGGGTTATTGCATAGACAGGGATCAGAGAACTAAGGTAAGAATCCGGAGAGCAAACTAGCTGAGGGCAGGTACCAGGAGATGAAAGTTTATTTCCTATGCTATTTCCTGGTGAAAGTTTCTTTCCTATGCTGTTTCCTGGTGAAAGTTTCTTTCCTATGCTGTTTCCTGGTGAAAGTTTCTTTCCTATGCTGTTTCCTGGTGAAAGCTTCTTTCCTATGCTGATTCCTGGTGAAAGTTTCACAAAGGCCAGGTACCAGGAAACAGCATAGGAAAAAAAGAAAGGCAAATTGAAAACAAAGAAACAAAGAAAGAATGAAAGAATTTAAGAATGAAAAGAGGGTGGACAGGCAGGGATGGAGCCTTGCAGGAAAAAAACAGTGGGGTGAGGAACAAGGTGGGAGGGGAAGGGGGGTGACGGGAGGTAGAACACGACAGAGGAGAGAAACAGGAACACAATGAGCAGGGATGGGGTATGTGTATAAGTGTAGTTTTGAGACGTCTCAAAACTACACTTCATATACGCGGGAGGAAGACAACGGCAGAGGAGAGAAACAGGAACACAATTTTGGTGTGACTTTTGAGAATTCTCAAAAGAACACAAGGGGCAGGGATGGGGCAGCCGCCGCAGCAAAAGCAGCAGCAGCAGCAGTAGCAACAGCAGCAGTAGCAACAGCAACAGCAGCAGCAGCAGCAGCACATACCACGTTGTTGTAATGAGCACCAACCAAGCCAAGGCTTGCAATCACCAGGTACAGAATGCTGGGGGCATGGGGAGGAGAGGAAAGGGGCGGAAGGGGGAATCAGAATTGTAGCTCAGAGTTAGGCAACGGGTTACAATTACCAGGTACAGAATGCTGGGGTGTGGGCAAGGGGGGCTGGGAGGGGAAGGAGGGGGAAGCAGAGAAGATGGGAGCAAGAGCATAGTTCAGGGCTAAGGCACAACATATAACTGCAAGAAAGCTCCCAGAAGTTACAGGATAACAAGGTCGTTCACTCCTAGGCTCAGGCACTCACAGGTTCCGTTCGGCAACTCACAGGTATGACATGGCAATCCAGAGGGTTTGTGAAGTGAGCATGGATGCTGCCATGCCATCGAGAAGAGCAGCGATTGGCACATCATTCCTGCTGCTACCACCATCACCACCACTGCTACTATCACCGGTGATGTTGCTGCTGCCCGGAACGTTACTACTGGAAGTGCCGCCGCTGCTGCTGCTGCTGCTGCTGCTGCTGCTGCTGCTGCCAGTGGTGGTGGTGCTGTCAGAGAGGTAGCTATATCCATTGAGCGATATGTCAGGATGATAATTTCCATCAACACTGCTGCTGCTGCTGCTGCTGCCAGTGGCGATGGTGCTGCCAGAGAGGTAACTGTGCCCATTAAGCGACATGTCGGGATTATAATTTCCATCAACACTGCTCCCATCAACCCCACCAACACTGCCGCTGTTGCTGCTGGCGCTGTAGCCACTGCTGCTGGCGCTGTAGCCACTGCTGCTGGCATGTGAAGGAAGGCCAGCAGCAGGAGGGTTGCCGTTGGTGGTGTTTGCAGCAGCAGGGGCGCCAGCGGTGCTGTTGACAATGATGCCAGCTGGGAGGAAAGAGGGGAGTTCAGAGAGGGAAAGGTGGGTGGTGAGAGGTGAAGAGCGGTTCACCAGCTGACCGGTCTTTGAGTATTACTTGTCCATATTTTTTCTGTGTTGTATTCTGAGGTTCGATGTCAGGTACGTTCTGAGGCGCGTTGTGAGGCGCGCTGTGACGTGCCGCAGTCATCGACTGACAGAACCATTCTTTTGGGTTTGCACTCATAGGGTGGATATGCACTCACAGAGAAAGGCAGCGATATAGAGGAGGCAGCCCAGCAGCAGACACATTCTGAGGTGCTGCAGCCTGCACCGCCTGTACCGCCTGGATTGCACTCACAGAGAAAGGTGCGTCTGGGGCAGCACTCACAGAGAAAGGTGCGTATGGGGCAGCACTCACAGAGAAAGGTGCGTATGGGGCAGCACTCACAGAGAAAGGTGCGTCTGGGGCAGCACTCACAGAGAAAGGTGCGTCTGGGGCAGCACTCACAGAGAAAGGTGCGTCTGGGGCAGCACTCACAGAGAAAGGTGCGTATGGGGCAGCACTCACAGAGAAAGGTGCGTATGGGGCAGCACTCACAGAGAAAGGTGCGTCTGGGGCAGCACTCACAGAGAAAGGTGCGTCTGGGGCAGCACTCACAGAGGAACGCGGCGATATAGAGGAGGCAGCCCAGCAGCAGCAGGCACGCGAACACCCTCTTGGTGCTCTTAAAGCCCGCCTCCCACTTGGGGTCCAACAGAGGTTCCATGCCAGCTGTGCCGTTTGGCGCCTGTAGCGCATCCAACGTGGCCTGAGAGGAGGACCGCGGGATGACAGGTGGCAGCACCAGGTGCACCGCTTCTATCCACGTGGAGCCCTCTGATTCGCCTGATGCGGTCACTGGCAGAGGTGGCGGAGGGTGGGGTGGGGTGTTTGGGGCGGGGGGGGGGGAAGTGGGAAAAGGAGGGGAAGGGGTGAGGAAAGTGAGGGGGGACCAAATTGTGTTTGTAAAGGGGATAGGTACATGATGATCAGTTGAAAGGGGAGGGGGAATACACTGGATTTAGACAGGCTAAAGAGGTAATAGCAGTTGGTAAACGAATCAAGTGAGCTGAGATACGTAGTTTGGGTCACCCCTACATCGAATCCTACTATTTCTGGCAATGCTACTATATCTGGCACTGATACAACCTCTGCTAGCGTTATATCCTTACCAGTGCCAGACATCTTGTATCCTTACCGAAATGGAAGTCCATCAGGTCGTCTCCGTCCCCACCTCCCCCGCCACCTCGTTTCTCTCTACGCCCGCCGCCCTTGCCTCCCTCGCGGCTACAGCTGCTGTCGTCGCTACAGTAACTGCTACAGTAGCTGCTGCAGCTGCCGCTACAGCTGCCGTCACTCTCCCCCCCTCCCATCGCGTGGCTGCCTTCTGCCGGGTCATAATACGCGTTTATGGCAGCCCCGTTATGCGCCTCAGCGTGGCAGAAAATGCTGCAGGATTTCTCTAATATTATACACTCTGGAGATGTTCCATCATCCCCGTTACAAGCCCACATATCTGCATCGATCTTTTGCTTCTCCTTTAGCTCTTTAACGGGACTTTTCCTCTTGCCACGTTCCCCTTTGCTCGCGTCCCGCCCTTGGCCCCCATCCCCGTTATAAGCAACCTGCGTTCCAACAAAGAACGACGAACCAGGCCCATGTATCACCACAGATAGCGGCCGCTGATCATTACTTTCACGCCCCCCTTGTTCCGCACCCCCGTTCGTCCGCCCATTCCTCCGTTCCCCCTCATCGGCCCCCTCATGCGCATTAGCGGATTCCGCCGCAGCTCTCCGCCCAGCCCCCCTCGTCCTGCTCCTTCTCCTTCCCTGCGCCTCTCTTTCCGCCCCTTCCGCACGACGCGTAACCCTCCTTGCGCCCCTCGTTGCACGTGCGCCGAACCACATCCTCTGCGCCGACGCTCTCCCGCGCAATCTTTCCTCCGCGCTACCTCCTCCCGCGCTCTCCGCCGACTGCGCGCCCCCCGCGTCGGCAAACTCAGGGCCAAGCGCTTGCTCGGCACGGCCGCTGCTGACGTCATCGTCCGCGCGACCCGGACTAGAGTTACTAGAGTTACTGGAGCTGCCGCCGCTGCTGCTGCTGCTGCTGCTGCTGGCGGTGGAGTCGCTACTCGTACTGGAACCGAACCTGCTGTCGGACCTGCTTGTAGCGGAGCTGTTAATAACGAAGCAGTGCGTCAGTCGCGCGCTTGACCACGCTGCGCTCGCGCTCGTTGTTGCCACGCCGAAGCATCCGCTGCTGCGGACGCCGTCGGATCTCTGCCCGGTGGCGCCGTTGGCGCCGTCGGAACTTGAATCCTGGCCGTCGATCACAATCTCGACATTGTCGCCGCGCGCGAGCAGCAAGCGCCTGGCTTCCGCTTCCGACCCGTCTTTCGCCTCCGCTTCCGCTTCCGCTTCACGAGCGGGAGGAGAAGCGATAGCAGATGAGGGGACTATAAGAGAATCGCTGGTCGAAGTCGTGACTACAGACGTGACTAAAGCAGAGCCACTGCTACTGCTGCTGCCTGCGCTGGTGGCGGCGCATTCGCCGCAATCTGAGCTGTCGGCGTTCTGATGGAAACACCTGCGGTCCGGGGGCTGTTGTTCCATGCTAGTTGCTTCTGCTTGGACGGAGATTTATACTTCTCACTACACTCGCTCTGGTGACTTTCGAGTCGACGTAGCAGTCAACTCTGCCTGTATAAAGCTTGACACTCGCTACAGTAGTAGCATTAGCTTGCCATAGCACGTACGGCCGCTAAAATCGCAACCACCGCTGCAGGCACATCGCATTGCGTCACATGCACGGCGTTGATGAGCTCACGAACTCCCATAAAATGTCGAAACTACTGACACTCAGAAATGTTGAAATGCATGGCGAGTATATGAACTTTGAGAAATGCTTCAACTCGGAAACGTGTGTGCCAAGCCTGCTTTCAGAACGATAAATTCTCTTCTTTGCTTGCTTCTTATTCACTTTTTTTCTTCACGTGATCGATAATACCACCTTCCTTCTTGGGCGCAGCAGAAGCCTTCCGCTGGAAAGGCAGAATACGCCGCTGGTATCAACAACTCTGGAAATGTCAGCTAGAGGTCCCCACGAATTCAATCAAGCTTGACAGCTTCAGGCAGGACACAACTGACCGGTTGATACAAGAAATGGCTGCTTGTCGAAGTTGGTCGGAGAGGGGAAAGAAAGCAGCGGGGAAGAAACATCACTCACCTCGAAATTCACGCGAATTTCAGTTTCACATCGCCGTTGAGATGATGCTGGCGAGTGCGATACGTAAATCTCGAAACGATGGACGGATGAGATGTGACGGTTTGATGCTACGATTCTGGGGGCAGCATGCGCTGCCAGTTGCTGCGGGGTTCGTGATGCCCACTTGGAAAATGTGGGATGGGAAGGGATCATGCGGGGCCCGCACAATGCCACAGCTGGGAGAATGACGTCAGTCCCTGGGGGCTACGGCGCGCAGTCGTAGCCCAGAGATTCGGCCTGCGCAGCTGGTTCTTTGTTTGGCTGGGGGACAAAAGGGCACTTGCGGGGGGGTCTCCGCGGGAACGCTGGTTCGGTCGTTGGGCTGGTTGTAGGTGGTGGTGGTGGGGTGATGTGTAGGTTTGTTCAGTGATGGGGATGTGAGAATCACTAGATCGATGTGATGATTGCAGATGCAAAACATCCGTCGTTCCAAGACTCTAGTTTGCCTGTAAGAAATTAAGTTTCCTCGCGCTGCCTCGTTTTCCTCCACCAGGGTGATGTGCTGCGTGTGGGCTTCCAACCGGACTAAACGGATGGGTCGAACGAGGACTGGACTGAAAACCCACAGATGTGTTGTGTGCGTTGATTTGTGCGACACGTCTGTCCATTTGGTGGGAAAATCAACGGTAAAGCATCACGGGGATTGGGTTAGACGTCGGCGAATCAAAAGTTCCCACGGAGAAGCAGCCGGAAGTGATACAATTCGACCGACCGGGTGACTGGTCGGATATTTTTAGGACTACCAACCAGGAATCAAGAATCCGAAAATTCCCACAATTTCGGAAGAAGCTTGTTCCTCGTTGGTCAATGACGTCAATCTGCAACATAGCTGTAAAGACCTGAGATCATTTGGTGGATCCACGGATATACCCCTTGACAGCCTTACCTCCTGTACGTTAAAACCAGGATCTCAAGTAAGAGAATTGGCCTTCAATTGCAAAACACTTGCAGCGCTTGTTACCCTATTTTTGTAGGCAAATTGACTGGCTGGTTAGGAAAGTGAGCGTGCGGCACACCCACGATTTTGCCCCTAGAGCAAATGCAAAACATTTTGCTGGTACATGAGATTGTTGTGTGTGACGAGAAATTGCAGGCATTGGAGCTTCGTCACCGAACCAGTTTCCGAGCCTTGCTTGGTTCGGACTGAACTTGCGATTTGTCTTTACTTCGCACCCCTCGCTTCACACCTCGTCAGATTGTTCACCTCGCTAACCAATCGCAGCCCAGCTCCCCTCACCAACTACAAAACAATTGAACTACTTGAGATCCTGGCTTTAAAGAGAGCAGGCAAAATAGTTAAGGGAGGCCCAGTTTGAAAGGCTGGCACTGTTTCAGGAGGGTGCTCCATGCTCGACAAGAAATGAATCACTATTCGTGAAAAACCTTGGCCCAGTCAGGCAGGCATTGTGGGCATTCTGGGCATTATGGCCATTTTTAGCAGGCCCCCAAAAAATGCCCCCTCGAAACACCTGCAAAATCAAACTGTAGCTGCAGTCAAACTTCGGAATAACGGGCCAGAGTGTTCGGCTGGCATTCCATTGTTAACGGGGGTGGAGTGTTGGCCCCTCCCTCGCTTGGGCAACGTCGACGACTTGGTCGGATGTACGGGCGAAGCAGCCGACCGTTCATAGTGGGAGAGCTGCTCGACAGGCTTCGTCGAACTGCAGGGGACTGCTGTGGTGTTGTTGTTGACCAGGGAGCTCGACAGCTGCAACTGACTGGTCTGGGCGACGGGTGGGCCATCGACCACGAGGGTCAGTTCGACCTTGAGGTCGACAAAGCAGTCCGTCGACCTGCAGCTCGACCGGGAGCAGTCCGTCGACCTGCAACTCGACCAGGAGAAGTCTGTCGACCTGCAGTTCGACCGGGAGGTCGACGGAGCAGTCCTTCGACCTGACAAGTGAGCAGCGGTCGACGAGGGGAGCTCGGGGACAACCGCTGCCGGTTCTGGTTGACGGAAGGGGTACGACGCAGCACGAACAGGCGAGCAGCACGAACAGGCGACGCAGGACGAGACGCAGGCTCACGACGCTCAGTAAGACCTCCAGTAGGACCAGTGTAGGGAGAAGGAGCAGGTAGGGGGGAAGCGGGCTGTAACTGTGACCGCGACTGGACAGGCTGTGGACCCTCTAAGGGAGGAGCAGGACCAGTAGAGGGCGGGAGACCAAGAACCTGCTCAAGGAGCGGAACGAAGTACGGCCTCGGCCGCGCAGCGCCTCCAGAACCAGCAGGGACAGCACCAGTACCCCCAGCGGCAGCACCAGCGCCAGCAGCACCTCCAGCTCCAACAGCGCCAACTCCAGCACCCTCAGAAGCACCAGCGCCAGCAGCACCACCAACGCCAACACCCCCAGCAGCTCCAGCTCCAACAGCTCCAGCAGCTCCAGCAGCACCAACTCCAGCAGGACCGTCAGCTCCAGTACCGCCAGCATCTCCAGCAGTACCTCCAGAAGGACTAACTCCAGCAGCCCCAGCAGCACCCCCAGTCCCAGCAGCTCCAGTACCGCTAGTACGAGCACCTCCAGGACCAGCAGCAACAGTAGTACCTCCAGCTCCAGCAGCACGGCTCCAGCGCCGGGCAAAGCACTCGCGCAGCTCCTGCGGAGAGAGGAGCTCCCGCCTCGACTCAGGCTCCCCCAGGCTCAGCACCCCTAGACTCAGCACCCGCAGGCTCAGCGCCCCTAGCAGCACCAGAGTCAACAGCTACCTCGACAGGCTCTACTGCGTCTACCTGTGACACACCTGACGGGGCAGGAACGTGAGGGGGGAGAGGGTCTACCGGGGGAGGACCTGGCGCAAGGAAGAGCGGCGGCGGGGGGAGGGGCGCAGTGCGGTAGGGGAAGAGACGGTAGAAGGCACCGACTCGTCAAAGGTGACGTCCTGGGAGGACAGAACACGGCGCGAGGTGGGGTGGTAAAACTGCCAACCAGGCGCGTCAGGGGGGAAGCCA